TGGGTAATAATTCAGCAGTGTGTCGCAGGCAGGAAGTGACGGCTGGGAATGAATGATTCGCGTTCCGCTCGAAAATTTCGAAAAGTGAAAAATGGAAGGTTGGTAGATGAGCAGAATAAAAATAAATACAGAAATAAATAAATAAAGAACATCCATATATGTGAATATATGTGTGAGCGGAGATAGAAAAAAAATTGTATGCGCGACGTCCTGATAAATGCACGTCGGCCGCACAATGAGTTATTTTTCACGGCCAAAAAGTCGACAAATTACGACCGATGTTTTGGATGAGCACGCAACCAAACAAAAACAAAGCTCCAAAAAACAGAAAAAAATATGCTCGATTATCCAAAAAACGGTTAACTGATCCGGACATATGTTAATTTCTGGTGCCAACACCACTGTTGCATGATTAAAATCCTCTGTTCTATGCCTTTTGCGCATCGATTTTGATGCTATTCCACCCTCACATTTTCTGCCATCCCCCACCACCATAACGCCGCCACCGTGGACGCAATTTACGTAATGAATTGTAAATCCTGCTGCTACCAACCTCTAACTCTCTCTCCCCTGCCATTCTTTAGGGGAGGCTTTAATATACACGCAACGGGCACATAAAATTGCAATCCGCAAATTGCATCCATCATTGTCTCCGCTCCTCATCCTAAGACCATTATCGATTTTCAGTGAAAAGTAAATAAAAATGAAGTTTGTAATTGTTCATCCAGTATATTAGATAAATTAAGTAAAGTACATTAAAATTTATTGTTTACATGAAAATGAAAATAATTGATTGACAATCAATAATGGTATTTCTATAATTAACTTATAGCATATTGACTTTTGTTCTAAAATGATTTGTCAAATTTGTTGCCCCATACTTCAAGGTTTTTATAATGACAGATAGAACATGTTATGTCAAAGGAGTTGTCAGATTGGTCAAATCAATTTTTTCAAACAACAAAGTTAATATAATGACAGATAGACTATCTTAAGTCAAAGATGTAAGACAGGCAAATGTCAAAGAAATTGACAGAATTATCATATCAGGTGGTCCATACTAGATGGTTAATAGAATGACAGATATAACATCTTATGTCAAAGGAGTTGTCAGATTGGTCAAATCATTTTTTTCAATCAAGAAAGTTAATAGAATGACAGATGGACTACCTTAAGTCAAAGATGTAAGATAGGCAAATGTAAAAGAAAATGACAGAATTATCAAATCAGATGGTCCAAACTTGATGGTTAATAGAATGACATATAGAACATCTTATGTCAAAGGAGTTATGAGATTGGTCAAATCAATTTTTTCAAACAAAAAAATTAATAGAATGCCAGACAGACCATCTTCTGTCAAAAATAATAGATAGGCTATCTGTTGTCAGAGAAATTAACAAATTTATCATATTAGATGCTCCATACTAGTAGAATGACAGATAGAAAATATTTTGTCAAAGGAATTGTCAGATTGGTGAAATCAATTTTTTGAACAAGAAATTTAATAGAATGACAGATAGACCATCTTCTGTCAAAGATAATAGATAGGCTATATGATGTCAAATAAATTGACAGATTTATCAAAACAAATGGTCCACACTAGAAGGTTATTAGAATGACAGATAGATCATCTTACGTCAAAAGAGTAGACAAACTAAATTATAACTGTTTTTTTAACAAAAAGTAAAACATTTCACCTTGGCATATTGGACTATTTATGTTACATCCTAATATTGTTCATCATTTGCATACCCATCTTCATCATATGTTTGTTTTAAGACAATTTGGGAAACTTAAAGATGTATAAATATTTAGCGTGAGCAGAGATGAGCAACGGCCGGACGTGTGCGTTCGTGAATAATTTATACGTGAAGGTCGGCCCATTCGAAACTCGATTTGCAGCAGCTTCCTTGTGGCATTCATAGATATTAGAAGATACTGGATTGATGATCCGTGCGTTTTATCGACGATTCTTTGCCTCCGGACATGACTACTTCATCTCTCAACAACTCATAAAACAACCTCATCCTCGTATCAAATCCGTGCGATAAACGGCCGTCTCGTGCTGGATATTACACGTGATCGTTTCCACTTAATTTATTGCCAATCTTACGAAAAGTATTACATTTTTTATTCAGTCCTAAAACGATGAACATTATTTTAACAAATGTTGCAAGTTGGAACAAAACAACTTAGATAATACTTTACAAATACACTCTTGGATCTGATAACACTTTATTCAATAGGTTATGTCAGAACATAGGTTGTCATTGTACCAATACACTTTTCCTAATGAATCAAATTGATAAGACGGCCATGTGATTTGTTGGGTTTTGAACTTGCGAATGAAAGAAGAAACAAAATAGAACCTAGAATCTAATAAGAATAAACCTTTTTAACCAATACAGAATTTTGATAACAGGAACATGAGAAACAAAATGAGAAGATTTAAATGGAAAGATAGGTTTTTCGCAATGCCATTTCCAGAATTATATTGTCCTATCTCACGGAGAAAACGACAATCTTCAGCCTCGAACTAATCTCACGGTTAAAAGAGTTAAAAGTGGAAAGATCGTTTCGAGTTTAAAGAGAACCTCAGACGTGTCGCAATAAAATTTTTGCGAACATAATGAAAACTACTACAACGGAACGAACATCAAATCCATTGTGAAAGCGGCATTTACTTGGGAAATTAACCACCGGGATAAACCTTCCCTTCTACCATCCTATATTTTTTTTTATATATATTTCCAACGTTGTTATTCCGCTTTTGTAAATAATTTCCCTCTAGAATTCCTTTGTACGATAAACACTGAATAACTCGACGGGTTAAAGCAATATGAATATATAGATATACAGACAGGAAGAGATAGAAAGAGTATGGAAAAATAAAAGCTCCGGCGTCGAGGGGTCTCGGAAAATGGAAAAATAATCTATATGGAAAACGAGGAAGGGCGCAAAAATGATAAAGTAATAAAGTGCAAAAAAAAAAAAATAAAAATAGAAGCGACAGTGTTATGATTGTTTTTTTTTGTTGTTTAATTAAAAATCAAGATGTAATGCAGCTGAATTGAATCGAAACGTGTTGGAAACATGTGCGTTTTCGCTTCCATCTGGTTTAATTTTTTTGTTTTTGCAAATATTGAAACTTTTGTTCCAATTCCGAATCCCATTAGTTCCAGGCATTGTTTGCAATTTTAATCCGAGCCGAACAAATATTATACTTGCACAATGCACGAACGCTAACTAATCCTTTCCGCAAAATTATCATTGATTGCAGTCATATAATTGGATCAGTAATTGATACATTATCTTCATAATTGTTAGAGAATTTCTGGATTTATAAATGATGTTTAATCACGTAATTAAACTACAATGTAAATGTATATATTATCTATAGAATTTATAACGACTTTTTCTAGCCTTAGCGAAGCAATAATTTATTATAAACTTTAATTTTTTTTAAATATTTATAATTCTAATTATGTAATGCAATTAGTTTTATACACGTAATAAAATAAATATTATTCCTATGATTATTTCAAGTTTCTAGTAATCACGACTATCAAGAAACTATTACTTTTTAAAGGTTTTACTTTAATTCATCAAATGCAATAAGAGAAATATATTGAATGCGCTTGCAAATAATTGAATAGAAATAAATATAAAAGTCGTGCAATTCATGTAATGAAATTTCAATAATTAATAGAAAAAAAAAATTGTAATTATTTCTATTCCTGGTTTCGTTATCCAATGTGCAAATCCGCATTGCTCGTACAGATTGTATCTCACGCCGAAGAAACGGCGGTACGTATTTCGTGCGAATGGATTACTAATTATTTTTTCATCGTCTGTTGTTTTATTATTATTGTTATTGTTGTTGTTCTGCTGCTAATGCAATTGTTATTGAATAATTCGGTCGGCTCCATAAATCAAACGATGATGATGACTCACGTACGAAACATCTGTTGGGCAACAACGATCTGATCTTTCTTCAGAATGCCACAATCGTTCCTTCTGCTCATTTCAAGTCCAGACGGAAAATCCCTTTCTCTCTCTATCTCTATCTTTCTCAGATTCTTGATGTCTGGATGTGACGAAACGCGCAATATTCCCACAATCTCGCGCCATTTCACGCTTCTTTTGTTACGCTCTTGAAACTCAATGTACATGACATATAAATGCAAAAAGGAGAGGAATTTATGATTCGCAATAGGAGTTTCGTTATTCGCAATGATTGAAACGGATTTCAAAAACTATCCCTTCTTTGTCGCCTTTGATTTCATACTTGAAAAATAATGTGAAATCTTCATATCTTATATTTTTAGGACAAGACTGTTAGAATATACTTTGATTCGTAAATATTGAATGTGATTTTAAAACTTATCTTTCAATCTTCTACATTGTCTGTGATTTTATACTTGAAATCAACAATTATTATAAATACCAACAATCATTTAAATGTAAAATTTATCATTGTTGATCTGAGAATATAGTTTATAGATTCTCAAAGTTTTTCAGGTAAAATTTTTAAATTTTTACAAATTTAGATTTTCAATCAGTGAAAATATGTCCAAACTTTAGAAATATTTTTTTAGTAATATTGAGAACTTCAGTATTTCATACATTTTCACTAAAAATTTTGAAAAATTTATAACAATTTATTGGTCTGAAAATGTGACAAAATATTAAAAAAAAAACTACCATCTATATTAATGCATAAAGCTTTTCTGTTGCATTATAAATGATAAAAAATGATGAACATAACGACAGGTACCAAAAAGGATGTAAATTATTTTTTGTTTGTGATTTATGTAATTTTTTTCACTTCGTTGAGTTAAGTTGATGTGAAAATAATATAAATTTTGCATATGAAATAAATTATAATTTAACAAATTTCTTCGAAAATGAATTAAGTTTATTAAGAAATAAATGATTCGAATAAGTTCAGTTTTCTTATTGTTTTTGAGTGTTTAATTAAGAATATATTGTAATTTCAGGTTCGACGAATCTGGTCGGAAAGTTCACGCAAAGCGTGCGGAGGATCGTTCAAGATGTGAAGGACGAAGGCACGGCTAGCGGCCAAACCAAGGAGGAAGTAATCGAGACGAACGAACGTCTTCGAGCGGTCCGGGTGCGCTTGGATGAGTCGTACGACACCGCGAAGAAGGCGCTCGTCACGCTGATGGCCAAATACAATGACAGCAAGTCCGTTAACAACATCCTCCAGAGATACAAGCTTCTCAAGTCTATGATCAAGGTGAGGCAAACATCTTAATTCCACCCAAAAAAAAAACACTTCACGCTCATTTATTTCGGTCCATCCAGGAGGTAATCAGATTGGAAACGCAGTACTGGTCCTTGGTAGACATACCCAAGCAGGAGAAGCACGAAACCGTACCGGCATTCGTCCTTCGTGCTTGTGCCATCATGGAGAAGACGCAGAAATCCGGTGAAGGCGTGAAGACGTCCGCAAAACTCGCTGAAGAAGCGCAGGACAAGAGGGAGCGAATAGACAGACTCGAAAGTGAGTGCGTTTATCTACAGCCCTCATTTTTCTTTTTAAATAATAAGTTACAGCTTATCGTGTGTTCGCATATTTTCGCTGAAATATCATCGTTCGTTGCGCATTCTTGTTTCCAACGAGGTTCTGGAAATCCCTGACGTTAATAACCCTTAAACGACCCGCATTCTTCTGAGCTCTAATAACTTGAAATACGAGATGCATAATTAGTGTGCAAGATTAACCGGCAAAGAAAATAAAGAGCAAATTAAATCCAGTAAACATTTCAAACCCGAGTATATTTTTAGAAGACAATAAATAAAAATTATTACCTGAACCTACATAAATATTATAATAATTCTCTCCACAATTAATCTTAAAAAAAAAATAATAATAATATATTGGCCAAACATTAAAAATAACTTAAATTTTACAATTAATTAAGAAAACAAATTTAACTGAATTTTTTAAAAATATTTCAGAATAACATTATCAAAATTTACTAAAATTAACAAACAAACAAAATATTATTTAAAATAAGCGGAATTTCCATTTGTTTCAAGATAAAAACAAGAACATGAAATAAATTACAATGAAGTTATTTAGATTTGTGCACAAACAAATAATTTGATAAACGAGATTTGATTATCTAATTATAGTTAGATCTGATCTAAAGTAATATTAACTTATGCAAATATACAATATTTTTTCCCATATTAATCTAAATTTTGTTTTTACTACATGAATGGACGTAAAAAAGTTTATTTTTTAGTACTTTTTTTTTAATTTTATACCAGATAAATTTTAATTGCTATTTCATACAGACGTGATCATTTTTGGCACGAGTTCAAATCGTGGTAGTGGCACGAATCCGGTCTCCATTACCAATTTACTTTAATGTCCCGCTCGATAAATTGTATTAAAGGTTATTTCAAATATTTTCTGGTTTCCTTTTTTTTTTTTGATTAATTTTTACAATATTACAAAATTTGTAACTTGAAAAATTTGATAACTTATAAATATGATGAAAGAACAGACAAAAAAAAACTTATATTTGTGTCAGAAAAAAATAAAGTGATATTTGTTGTATTCAAAACATTCCTATTAACTAAAATCTGTCCACCCAATTAAGACTAAGAAATCTGTGGACACTGTAGATTATCTCGTAGTTATGTCGTTGTGGACTCTTATAGAGGTTTTTGAATATTAAATGCAATATTCTTAATTAGTTTTATATGTGTAAAACATCAGAGATTTTATTGAGAAGTCGACTATACAATTGTTGATCTAATGGATTAGTAACTAAGAGTTACATTCTCCTCTTAAATTAATAATTAAGAAGTAAGTGTTCTCACTTCGACCCTAAAACTAAAACCATGTTCTTACTTCAACCTCCCAAGTAAGACTAAATTATATAATACAGAAATGTGTCCATTCCAAAAAGGAGCTGCGTGGGAAGAAAAGAATCAGTTTTGACCTTGTGGAAAATACAACCGTTTCTTTATCTAAGTTACATGCTTCTACCCAACTCGCAACAAGATTTAATGTGTAACAGTTCTTCGGAATATTCCACAAGTTATTCTAAATAATCACGAACAAGTATCCGTTTGTATATTTGATGGATACGTGAAATATGTAATAATTAAGAGGAAAGTGGTAGAGCTAACAAATATACATATTAATTATACAATAGATGCTAATAGAATGGTCGGCCACGACAATATAATCTAAGGATAAATTTAATGAAATTTGTGAAGAAAAAATTTGCAACTGTTGGTAAGGATGGAGCTTTTCGTTGGTAAACACTTGTTCTGAAGTATTTTCACCTTATTTAGAAGTATAATCTAAATATACATGAAAAATATGTACAAAATAAATGGAAATTAAATTTGCTTTGTTCTCTCAACTAGTTAGTCTGTTAATTGTTGGTAATGATGGATATTTTCGTTGGGAAATACTTGGATTGAAGTCTTTTCATCTAATTCAGGAATATAATCTAAAGATAAATGAAAATTATGTATAAAAAAAAATGGAAATGAAATTTGCTTAACTAGTTAGTTTGTTAAATGTTAATAAGGATGGATATTTTCATTGGGAAATACTTATTCTGAAGTCCCACCTAATTCAAGAATATAATCTAAAGATAAATGAAAATTATGTATAAAAAAAAATGGAAATGAAATTTGCTTAACTAGTTAGTCTGTTAAATGTTAGTAAGGATGGATATTTTCATTGGGAAATACTTATTCTGAATTCCCACCTAATTCAGGAATATAATCTAAAGATAAATGAAAATTATGTATAAAAAAAATGGGAATAAAATTTGCTTTGTTCGCTTAACTAGTTAGTCTGTTAAATGTTGGTAAGGATGGATATTTTCTTTGGAAAATACTTGTATAGTTGGTGATAACAGCAGGTCGCATATTGCCTTCACGGTGGGACGTTAATTAACGTAACAAGTGGTCCCAGTGGGTGACTCCTTTCTCTCGCTTGTTTGCTTGCACTGCCATCCGCTGGGATTGCGAGCACAACCTCCAAAGGACTCGATGCGAAAGCCGTGGCAAAGGTGAGAGTGGCGTCGAACCGAAGTCTAACACACCTCCAGATATTAAATATTTACTTAAATGTGTACGTTCTACCTCTAATATTTATATAGATATTAATGCTGCCACTGTTGTCAAACATACATTGTTTTCTAAAGGTTATTCAGAAACTGAATTGTTCGAAACCATTTTCTCCATAAGAATTATAATGTAAAATGAATACAATACTTTCAGATTATTTATTTAAAGCACAAAATCATATATAAAACAATGAAAATTTGGGAAACTGTAGAACCTAGTTTGTTATTTGAGTTTTATACAAAACTATACACCTATTACTTGTTTTACACAATATTTTCTTTACTCGTTTTCGCTTTTACACGGTTTAAAAAAAAAATAGAAAAAAATACGATTTACATAGTTTTACAGTGAAAAAGGTACAATTTCGATATACACAATTTCCTCAAGACCTATCCACAGTGTAAATCAGGAGATAGGTGTACTTAGTATATGAAAAGTTGTCCAAGTTTCAATATTACCAGTTTTCCTGTTGCGGAACATAAATTGTGTTCGGTAACCGAGGGTTTACTGTATTTAGTTTACATTATTTTATACTTTCTTCTTCTATATTTCGATGAATACTGTAAGCAAGTAAATACAAATACAAATCCTTACTTGAATAAGAAATAAACTCAATAACGTTACACATCCAAACGTTCGGCTTCCGTCAATTTTCCTCTCCCCTTATTTCTTTTCATTCAAATAAGAGAAACTTACCGAGGCGTTCCGCGTGCCGTCTGCATGTGTTCCACCATCCATCCCCGTCTGCCTTTGAGCTCTTTTTTTCTTTTCCACCCACACTGCAAGACCAGGATCATTCATTTTGATCGACATCCCCAATACAATCAATCCAATGTGGACGTCGCAAACAACGTCATAATAAAAAAAATGCTCGCACTTGAGAGCGGACAAAAAAAAGAAATGATTAATGATGACTAATTGCTTCTGCGGCATTGATTCACGGCGAAATTAGTAAACGCCCAATGCGTTCTCAAAAACAAAAAAAAGAACAACAATCGAAACGAAAGAATCGTTCGGTGTTCCATTGTTTCGCAGTCTGCGAATTGTCGAGAGCTCGGAATTCGATTAACACGCTTTTCTGTGTCTCCTCAGATATGACTACGGCGCAGATCGAAGCCGAGAACACGCAGATGACGAACGACCTGTATAGGCTTCTGAAGAAGTATTCCGGATTGAGAAACCTCATTCGCGAATTGAAGGTAAGATTTATATAGTTAAAGTAGTCTATAAAATAATTATTATTGTAGTTATAGTTTAGTTAAATATGAAATATATCTTTATAGCTGAAAGTTTTTGATCAATAGATCCATACGACCAATAAGGATTTTTCAAACACTAAATCAATCACATTAAGTTGACATCAATCACTTTATTGTACTCCACCAGTGACAGCTCGTCTCTTGGAACTGCAGAATCTCTCTAGTATAAAATTGTATATCAACATTAATAACCAAAAATTGGGTCGACTAAATTTTTAATAAATGACAGCTGTCACAGCAAGGAACTGCTGAAATACTCCTAGCATTTCGGTCAATGTACCTGTACCAACAAATATGTTCGGTGTCAAAAGGTAGAGAAACTCTACTATATATCATTTCCAAAACTGTTGCTTTTAGATAATATTTCACAGAGATCTGAATGCAGGTTTTCATACAAATTGGGTCGCGTTAAATTTTGAATGAATCGCGAAATAACAACTGTCAAAGCTGTCAGAGGATCTGCTGAAATACTCTTAGCAATTCGGTCAATGTACATGTACCAACATATATATTGAGAAACTCTACTATAAATCATTTCCAAAACTGTTGCTATTTGATTACATTTCACTGAGATATAAATGTATGTTTTCATTCAAGTTGGGTCGTGTTAAATTTTTAATAAATTGCAAATGACAGCTGTCACCTTGTGTCAAAGCTAGGAACTGCTGAAATACTCTTAGGAATTCGGTCAATGTGCATGTACAAACAAATATTTTTGATCTAAAAAGGTTGAGAAACTCTTCTATGTATCATTTCTAAAACTGTTACTGTTTGATTACATTTCACTGAGTTCTGAATGTACGTTTTCATTCAAATTGGGTCGACTAAATTTTTAATGAATGACAGCTGTCAACTTTTGTCAAAGCAAGGAACTGCTGAAATACTCTTAAAAATTCGGTCAATTTACATGTACCAACAAATATTTTTGGTCTAAAAAGGTTGAGAAAATATACTATATATCATTTCCATTTCCACTGTTGCTTTTTTTATTACCGTTAACTGAGAACTAAATATACGTTTTCATTCAAGTTGGGTCGCGTTAAATTTTTAATAAATTGCAAATGACAGCTGTCAACTTTTGTCAAAGCAAGGAACTGCTGAAATACTCTTAGGAATTCGGTCAATGTACATGTACAAACAAATATTTTGGGTTTACAAAAGTTGAGAAACTCTACTATATATCATTTCCATTTCCACTGTTGCTTTTTTATTACATTTAACTGAGAACTAAATATACGTTTTCATTCATGTTGGGTCGCGTTAAATTATTAATAAATTGCAAATGACAGTTGTCATCTTGTGTCAAAGCGAGGATTTGCTGAAATACTCTTAGGAATTCGGTCAATGTACATATACAAACAAATATTTTGGTTCTAAAGAGGTTGAGAAACTCTTCTATGTATCATTTCCAAAACTGTTACTGTTTGATTACATTTCACTGAGATCTGAATGTAGGTTTTCATTCAAATTGGGTAGCGTTAAAGTTCTAATGAATCGCAAATGACACCTGTCACCTTGTGTCAAAACGAGAAATTCTAATCAAAAAGCAACAGTTTTGGATATTAATTTCAAAACTGTTGCTTTTTGATTACATTTCACGGAGATCAAAATGTACGTTTTCAAGCAAATCAATTATTCCATGTTTTTTTTTCTTTTAGTTAAGGTCACGTTACAATCAATCAATTTATTTTGCATTGACAGCCCAATAACGATTTTATTGATAATTTGCAAACGCATTGGAATTAATAACGCAATTACCAAAACGTATACATTTTGCTTTAGCGTCCAGACTGTGAATCTGATCAGAGTAGTCCGATTGCAATTGGTGTGTGTGTGTGGCCTGCCGTTAATTAACGTACGGACACTTGAACGTGAACGCATATATTCATCGAATTTAACGCTCGCAAATTCTATTATTATATTAATACTAATAATAATCATTATTAATATTGCATCCGACACGGCGTATCCATAATATTCTATGTATATAACATATATATATTGGAATATCGGATGCTGCTATTTGATTACAGGCGGCAGCGCGATTAATCAAGGGCTCCGGTCTCCGCCCCGGAATCAATTCCCTTCGAGATGCGCCAAACCGGAATTAATATTAATCAGTTGATTGCAATTAATTAGCAATTCAAAGCGAAAACGTCGGTTGTTTCTTTTATTCATCAGGAAAGCGATTACCACCGTCCACCGACCGATCGACCTCTTTATTTTTTTTTTCAACTTCGAAAGGGAATCAGATGATGAGAATTCATTCAATTACAGTCGCGTGGGTAGGGGTTGTATAATTTGAGGTCGGTCTGCTCGAAGGGATCAATGATTACTTAACTACAAATCTCATTATTGACATATACAGGTAGTTCACGTCGTTTCGAATTAATTCGATTCAATCCGACCTTTCTAAAATACGAATTCTTAATGCGAGATTCGTGATTTTATATTTGCTTTAAACGAAATTTGATTGACATGACTTCTGTTCCTCATAATTACTTCTCACTCATCTTAAATAGAAAATAAATATTACTTAATACTACTTAGATTTTCTTCATTTTTTTTTTGTATTAATTCTCTTCATCAATTTTTACTATGTTTTGCACAAATTCTGAGGTTTTTCTATATATTTTATACATCAAAACTTATTTTCTCTACTATTCATAAAAATGTATAGACTTTGAAAAATTGATAATTATTAACTGGAATAGATTTTTTTTTATATAATTGTGTCTTAAAGAGTTGAAAAGATAAATGTTTATAAGAATTTGCTTCTAATTTAAATTGTTTTTTTTTGTTAACTAACAAAAAAAACTGTATGCTTTAGAGGAGATTGTATAGACTGCAGTGTGCAATGGTTTTTGTCTCATAATGTAACGTTATCCGCATAATCCAACAAACACACCTTACCTACATGCAACAGCACGAAAGCGCAATGCAGATTAACTGTATGGGGATTGAACAACAAGGGATAAGCGGACACAAACCTTCGGACATCTATAGTGCACACTCATGAAATCGTTCAAACAACAAACAACTTTATCCTAATAATTATTTAGCACATACACACAAAACACTTTACATTATTGTCTCTAAAAACTATTTTTCAAACCAAAATATAATAAAATGCCATTTACTAATTCTTACAAAATATTTAATATCTCACTTATTATCTTATTACTCTTATTTTACTGGAACTTCTTTAAATCTAAAAAAGAATATATAACACTTTACTTTCTCCAGTTTCTTCATTTTGAAGAAATCCTTATATTAATTCAAGAATTAATTTTTGTTGACAAGATCAAGATTATATAGTTTTAGAATTGGAGGAAGTCTTATGAACAATAATCCAATAATCTATTTGGTTCATAAATAATTATATAAGTTTGTTATGTTACAATTGATGCTGGAATTATTGAACATTGAAATATCGCAAGATTTCCGTGTGCCATTCATGAAAGTCAGGTATTTGTAAAGTTTTTGTTTTTTTTTGTGATATAAAGTTCCAGAGTTGCGAAATCCAATGGGATAAGTTTCTCCCCAATTTATCAATGTTCTGAGGGAGGGACGAAAGTAGCAAGAATACTAAATCACGTGCGGTTTCATCCAAGAAACTTTGATCGTCTAATAGGCGCGATGCAACAACGTCAATAGCATTCTGCAAGGCTTGTTACGACGACATCGCTTCTCCGTAGAGAACGTGTCGAATCATATCCGCTCGAATGCACTTCGAGGCTTATTAGGATAAACCTTACCACGTCTTGCACTACGCGTTCAATATGTTGATTGTTGTTGCAGGCAGACTACATGAACTCGAAGCTGTACCCGATCTTCCCGCGGTACACCATGCTCAAGGACATGATCAAGGACATCATGCTGCACCCCGATTACATGGAGGTGTGCCACGAGGTGGACGCATAGCCCAGGTCCTTCACATAGAACACCCTGAAGACCCGAGGTCGAGTCCGGTGATCCGGTACCAAAAAGAAAACCACTTCCTCTCTCCAGGACCTCGGGTGGATCTCGGCATTACCATTTTCCCATAACCACACATAATATACACAAACACACATACACCAAACATAAAATATTAAAGAAAGCTTCTTCCGAATAACCGCGAAATTTTATATGTATCTATACCTAAATATATTAATTAAACGTAATCGTAATAATCATATTCAAGATGGGCGAGGATTTGTTTTATTTTCGGAATAGATGAAGTGTTCGTGTTGAGCGTGCTTGTACTTAGGATTGTCGTTGTTGTATTTGGAAAAAATGTATTATTATCATTACGTTGAGCTTTAAACCAAAAGAGAAAAGATAAGTTTGCCCCCAACCAAATAAAAACCACCAACTAAATAAAATTAACCAAAACCAAAGATTTCACGGATATCAATGATATGATACGCTTTTCATTCCCCAAATATATTTTTGTAATTATTTGTATTTTTACGGAGAGAAAAGAATTCAAGGCGAAGAACGACGGCTGAAACGCTGATTGTATTTAAATTTAAACAATATAATGATAATATCTTATAAACGCAATGGAAACACTGCCAGTTTAAAAGGCAACTTTGTTATTCAATATATATTGTATTAAGTGTAACGCTATGTGTAAATTGTTGTTAAATACTGCAATGACAGCAAAGACAAATCTAACCTAAAACTTTTGACACCTGTCAACACATTTTAGGTTAGAGTAAAAGCTTTGCTGATTATCCTCAGTAGCTGTACTTTTCGTATCCTCGTTTACGTAGCCGTTATTTGTGACATTGCTTTTGAACGATATGTTGGAAATTTTTTGAGAAAGTTGTCGAAGTCGCACAGATCACGGTGGGGAGCCGAAACAATTGAAGGCGTAACCTAACCTAAAACCTAAATGTAAAGGATTGTTGACTTACATAAGTAAAATCAACTGTGTATATCCGTTCATGCGTGGATGTTTAGATAGTATATGTATATATATATATATCAACTATATATTCGATGTATTATTATGTAACCAGTTTTTACCAGTATTTATTTTTCTTTCCGGGGCCTAAAGTACGCATAACCAAACAAAAAAATAATAATAAAGAATATTTTGCTTGCTTCGTGGAATGGAAAATCTTGCGAAAAAAGAGAACATATCAGGCCTTATTTCCAAAGAAAATGAATTGAATAACCAAAAAAAAAATAATTATAATGAATAAGAACATATGTCATCTGGACGAATTTATATTTAAATAAATTGAAATGGGAGCAAACTCTTGTGAATTCTAATTCAGTATCAAAAGAACAAGATGAACAAAAAAAAAATCTTAGATTAAACATTTAAAAAGAAAAGAAGTTGATTTATTTTATATATGATTGCAAATCAAACTCGATGTATCATACACAAATATTTATATTGTAAAGATCGATGTATTTAACGTATATATATATACAAATATGAAACCAAAAAAAAAAAAATTATAATATTGATAATATGAAGATGTTGCTTTGTTGAAATAATAAATAAATTTGTGCCACTACTGTATCTTAGTTATTACTGCATACAATTAATGATATTCATCAAGGCTAGGAAGATGTATATGAAGTCTGTGTAGAGGCATACTGTGCCCACTATGTACTCCTCCGACGATATCTCATACTTCCTTCCACCCAAGATGAGCTGCGTGTCGTATATCAAGTACTGAAACGGAAGCTAGTGTTCTTGAGGTAATTTAAGCTTGAATCGAACGCACCAGAGAGTATATCACGGTGATGAGGATGCTGTAGACCAAGAACATTATCCTCAATCGAAACACCATGCCCAGGATGAGAGCGACGGAGCCAAAGGTGACTAATCCGATGCCAGCGAAGCACAGGTAAATACCCCAACCGGTCATATCGAACTGCAATTAAAACTCTTTAGCTATGATTATGGTGTTTCTTTTTTAGTACGCATGGGAGAGCGGCGACTATGGTGAGGACGGCCACTATGGCCACGGTCAGTCCCAATGCTGCGAAGACTATATATGTGGACATGCGAGCAGACATCGATCCGAATCCAATTCCGTACAGGACCGACTGCAAATTGAGTTAATCAATAACTTGCACTTTAGAGGTACGATGTTAAGGACATCACCATGAACGTCAGAAGGATGAAGTTCAAAGGAACGTAGAGCCGAGCACATTTGCAGCACATCAAGCTTATATGCATTCCAAATGCAGGCACTCTACAAAATCGGGCTCTTTAAGACTGGACTACTCTCTCTCTCTCTCATTCGCTCTTAGTAGTACTTACAGAGTTCCGACCATGATGAAGATGTCATTTTGCAGATACTCATGCACTGGAGGTCTGAAATCAATACATTTTCAATATGTAATTCACAATTGTATCAGTCGATACATTTTTACCAACCTTATTGCTTGTATTGTTATTATCAAAATTTGTATATATTTTTCAAATTAAACCTATTTTGTTTATCATTTCCTATCATTATCAAAACATAAACTATATAAAAAAAAATAATTAACTTGTTTTATCACCCATTTAAATAAATCAAATACCTTAGATATTAATAAGATACCTTATCACATGAAATTAGTAACAAATTAAAAACATATAATTCTTTTCGAGACTATCAACTTCTTGAACTTGCTAATGTCTACAATTGAAAAGAAACGTCACTTACATAAACATGCATCCCGTTATAATTCCCACGGTGATTACCAGCTGGATCATCAGCAGCGTGTAGACTTTTACCACGAACTTTTTCCGCACATCACGATCCGAAAATCCTCTGAACTGGTGCGGTTCGTTCTCAATGTAAACTGCAAACAAAACGTCTTTTCTAAAAGGGAAACATTTTTTAATTGATTTACCTGTGGACATGGTGGAAGTTCAAACACGCGAATCTTATTACTCAAATGTGACATGTGTCAACATAACAACATTCAATTTGTTGTTGCTATGACACAATTAATTTGTATAAGCGCTTCCAGAAAGTTGGATTTCAGCTTGACGATTTCTTTCTCGGTTTTATACAAATAGTTAAAAAGTTTAAACATATATCAAATAAATTATTACATAATTTGGAAAAGAAAACTTAAGTTTTAATTTGTTTTTAATAAATTTATGTTTAATCTCTGATAATATTTATGTTTAGATAATCGATGTTTAAGGGACTTATGCAATTAGATATAGCGAATAATAAACAAACTACACTACACAGCAAGATTTGTGACTCTCACATCAATTATCTTAAATAAAGACAATGAGTTTTTTTGAGGTTTGTTAAGTGCACTTAATCAAAACATTTTTATTTTAGTTAAATTAAGATTTTATAATTTTAGTAATTAAAAAATTGAGTTAACATATTGAAAATAAACAATATTTTTTACTGTTTGGAAAAAGTTTATGTACTTTACTATAATAGTTAACGTAGATAAAAAAAATAAATGATTAAAAGTAAATTGGTTGAATTTGCAAATTCGTAATGCGATTTTGTTATCAAAAGTAAAACGACCAGACAAAGCTCAGTTGTGTAATCACGTAAATACTTTTGGTACACGTATTGAACATCTGTCGCGAGGATTCGTTGAATTATCAGCAATAACATGTTTATAAATTTAAAAAAAAAAACAAAAAAAACGCATAACTATGAACGATGTTATGCGTGTATTTTTTGCTGATTCTTATCCTTATCGATTTAGCATGTGACTGCATATTTGATACTTCATAAATACATAAAACCACAGGTGTCTATTTTCTCGTGTGAATCGTGCGCGCATCTTCATCTCGAAAGGAAGGCTTTGGCGAGGATAGAAAACGAGATGGGGTCGATGTTTAGGAGCGAGGAAATGGTCCTGGCGCAGATCTTCATCCAGCCGGAAGCTGCTTATCCGCTGATGTCCGAGCTGGGTGCATTAGGCATAGTTCAATTCCGAGATGTAGGATAGTTTCTTTATTTAAATTCCGATAAGTTTTTTTTTAATATATTTTCATGGTTTAGTTAAACAAAGATGTTAACTCTTTCCAAAGAAAATTTGCAGCGGAGGTGATCCGCTGCGATGATATGGAGAGGAAGCTGCGTTACGTCGAGGATGAAATGCAAAAGGATAAGGTTGATATCCCGGATTTGGAAGAACAGCCGAAGGCACCGAATCCAAGAGAAATTGTCGATTTAGAGGTCTTCTATTTTGTTTTGCTATTATTAATTGAAATTTGTTTTGTAATGTGTGTGTATTTAGGCGCATTTGAAAAAAACGGAGAAAGAGATCGTCGAGATGAGCGAAAGCAGCGTCAAGTTGAAGTCCAACTTTCTGGAACTGATTGAGCTTAAGTATGTTCTTGAGAAAACTGCGATATTCTTCAATGAGCGCAAAAAATCTGTGGCGGAATCGCCTCGCAATGATTTGGTGTCTGAGGATGCAACTAATCAAGAGGGTAGAAGTCAATTGAGCTTCGTCGCCGGTGTTATCGGTCGCAAAAGAATGCCAGCTTTCGAAAAAATGCTTTGGCGTGTCTGCAGAGGTAACGTGTTAATCAAGCAGGTGGATATAGATGAAACCTTCGAAGATCCAATTACTGTAAGTATTCAAAAGAACAATAGAAATGTATTTGATGATTGCTTTTCTTAAAGGGCAACGAAATATACAAAACCGTGTTCGTCGCATTCTTCCAAGGTGATCAGTTGAAAGAGCGCGTGACCAAAGTGTGTTCAGGATTCAGGGCTACTCTACATCCATGTCCAAGTAACAGCAACGAATGTCAAGATATGCTTAAAGAAGTGAAGATAAACATAGAAGACTTAACACTGATCATGAACAAGACTCAGGACCATCGGCAAAGAGTACTTAACGCAGTCGCTAAAGATATGAAAGATTGGAATGTTAAAGTGTGCAAGATGAAGGCCATTTATCACACCATGAATTACTTTAATAAGGACGTGTCCAAGAAATGCCTGATTGCAGAAGGCTGGATTCCATTGAACGACGTGCCGCAAGTCCAAACAACTTTAACCACGATTTCGGTAGATCTCATTCACTGAATTCTTTGATATAAACTAACTAAGGTGTTTTCAGAGTTCCTGCGGCAGTTCCACTCCATCCTTCATGAACGTGATTGACACCAATGATAATCCACCGACTTTCAATCGTACGAACAAGTTTACTAAAGGCTTCCAGAATTTGATCGATTCTTATGGCATGGCCTCATATGGCGAAGTCAATCCTGCATTGTATACCATCATCACCTTCCCGTTTCTCTTCGCCGTTATGTTCGGAGACGTCGGTCACGCCATCATTATGCTTATATTCGGAGCTTACATGTGCATTTACGAGAAATCACTTGAGGCGAAGAAGATTAAAAGCGAAATTTGGACTATATTCTTCGGCGGTAGATACATCATCCTCCTCATGGGACTGTTCTCCATTTATACAGGATTCATCTACAACGACATCTTCTCTTTGTCCATGAACATCTTCGGCACCAGTTGGGTGGATGCAGTCGATCGCATTTCGTTAGAAGACATCAATAAAAACAATTTCATAGAATTTAATCCGTCCGTTGACTCGGCAACTGTTCCTTATCCATTCGGGCTTGATCCCATTTGGCAGATGGGTAAAAACAAGATTATTTTCTTAAACACTTTTAAGATGAAGCTTTCCATCATCTTCGGTGTTTTGCACATGATTTTTGGAGTCAGCATGAGCGTCATAAACTACGTGTAATATACATGAAATTAATTTAACTCTATTATGTACTTATGATAATCTGTTTATTTAGGCGATTCAACAAGAAGTACAGTATCGTCTTGGAATTCTTGCCGCAGATTGTTTTTCTGGTTGCGCTCTTCGGCTGGATGGTCGTCTTGATGATCATAAAGTTCGTGTGGTATGGAGCCCAAGGCACAGATTACAGAGTCGGCACTTCTTGTGCACCTTCCATCCTCATCATGTTCATCAACATGATGTTATTCAAAGAACCAACGCAACACGATAACTGCGATCTTTACATCTTCGAATTCCAACCGACACTTCAGATGATCCTAGTCGTAGTAGGTGTTTTATGCATTCCAACAATGCTCTTGGGAAAACCTATTTACATCATCATCCAAAGGAGGAGGCAGCAGAAACAAGTAAAATATTATTAAATTACTTATATATATTATTAATTACTTAAATATATGAACTGTTAATTCTAGATACAAATCAAAGATAATGTCAATAAAACAATGGAAATGCAACCGGAAATCATCAAAGAAACAGATGCAAATAAACAAGAAAGCGATGGTCATGGTGATGATGAACCCTTAAGTGAGGTTTTCATCTACCAGGCGATTCACACCATCGAATACGTTCTTAGTACAATTTCACACACGGCTTCTTACCTGCGTCTTTGGGCTCTCTCCTTAGCCCATTCACGTAAGATAATCTACTGTAGTAATGAAAGAATATTAATCAATATATAATACTTTTTGTTTAGAGCTATCTGAAGTATTGTGGTCTAGGATAATGAGAATATCTTCGATGAATTCTTTCGTTGGAGCACCGTTCGTCTTCCTCATTTTTGGTGCTTGGGCTTTCCTAACAATAGCAATCCTCGTCATGATGGAAGGACTGAGTGCATTCTTACATACTTTGCGTCTACATTGGTAATATCAGGATAACAGAATAATTTACAAAATAGAAATAAAATGTATTTTCCTTTTTCAGGGTGGAATTTATGAGCAAATTCTTCATAGGTTTAGGATATGCCTTCGAACCATACAGCTTCAAAAGAATTTTGAGTGAAGATGAATAAATCTCAATGTACACTACAAACATTAATAATTGTATTCCTTGTAATAAACATTTCTGCATGTAAAAATATGGTTAAAGATATAATTATCTTTATAAGGATAAAATGGGTATTTACTATAATGTAACTGTATTTAATACAGCAATTTTTATGTTGAATAAAGGTTTACAGAAAGTGACATTGTGTAATCACGATTTGTAAATGGATTAGGTACTTGTAGAAAAAAATGTATCACGAGGATTCGTCGATTTATCAGTTGTTACTTATTGATAAGTACGTATAACTGTGATCTATTTATCTTATCCTTATCTACCGAGCATGTGACAATGTATATTGAAACTAGATGGAATCGTTTTAAATCACGAGTGTTCATTGCTATAAGTGAATCGTGAAAGTAACTTCATCCCAATAGAAAGGTAAGGTTGAAGGAAATCAAGATGGGGTCGATGTTCAGGAGCGAGGAAATGGTCCTGGCGCAACTCTTCATCCAGCCTGAAGCTGCGTATCCTCTGATGTCCGAGCTGGGTGAATTAGGCGTCGTCCAATTCAGAGATGTATGCAAATTGTATTGGTATTAAAAGAGCGTTGTTTTAACTTTATTCTATTTTATTTAGTTGAACGAAGATGTTAACGCTTTCCAAAGGAAATTTGCAGCGGAGGTTATCCGCTGCGATGATATGGAGAGGAAGCTGCGTTACATCGAGGCCGAGATGCATAAAGACAAGGTTGAGATTCCCTATTTGGCCGAACAACCGAAGGCCCCGATCCCAAGGGAAATTATCGATTTGGAGGTCCGATCTCTTCGTACATTCGCTGAAATTGTATATGTAATTTGTATGTATCTTAGGCGCACTTGGATAAAACCGAGAAAGAGATCCTCGAGATGAGCGAGAGCAGCGTCAGGCTAAAATCGAACTTCATGGAGTTAACTGAGCTTAAATACGTCCTCGAGAAGACACAATCCTTCTTCAATGAGCGCGAAGATTCCGCTATCGATTCCTCTCACAAGGCGTTGATTTCCGAAGATGCAATTCACCAGGTGACCAGGTGTCAGCTGAGCTTCGTCGCTGGTGTCATCGGACGCGAAAGAATCCCAGCTTTCGAGAGAATGCTTTGGCGTATCTCCAGAGGTAACGTGTTCCTCCGGCAGGTGGATATAGATCAAACTTTAGAAGATCCAATTACCGTAAGTATACAAGACTATAAAAATAACAATCATTATATGATATTTACTGTATTTTATAGGGTAACGAGATGCACAAAACCGTGTTTGTTGCTTTCTTCCAAGGTGAGCAGTTGAAAGGTCGCGTGACGAAAGTCTGCTCAGGATTCAGGGCAACTGTATATCCATGCCCAAACAATACGAACGAATGCCAGGATATGCTCAAAGAAGTTATGATGCGCTTAGAAGACTTAACTCTGATTCTGAACCAGACTCAGGATCATCGCCAGAGAGTCCTGAACGCCGTCGTTAAAGAAATGAGTAATTGGAACATTATGGTAAGCAAGATGAAGGCCATCTACTACACCATGAACTTCTTCAACATGGACGTGTCCAGGAAATGCCTGATTGGAGAGGGTTGGATTCCATTGAATGACGTTCCTCAAGTACAGGAAACTTTATCAGAAATTTCGGTAACTATATTTTAAAACTATTACTAAAAGCTTCGATAAAATAATTGAGGTATTTTAGAGCTCCTGTGGCAGTTCCATTCCATCCTTCATGAACGTGATTAACACCACTGAAAATCCGCCGACTTTCAACCGCACGAACAAGTTCACCAGAGGTTTCCAAAACTTGATCGACGCCTACGGCATGGCCTCATACCGCGAAGTGAATCCAGCTCTGTACACCATCATCACCTTTCCGTTCCTCTTCGCCGTTATGTTCGGAGACGTCGGTCACGCCTTCATCATGCTTCTGTTCGGAGCCTACATGTGCATATTCGAGAAGAAACTCGAAGCTAAGAGGATTAGCAGCGAAGTCTGGCAAATCTTCTTCGGCGGCAGATACATCATCCTTCTCATGGGACTTTTTTCCATTTATACTGGATTCATCTACAACGATATCTTCTCTTTGTCCATGAACATCTTCGGCACCAATTGGGTGGATGCAGTCGATCGCATTACATTGGAAAAGGTCAACAAAGACGAATACATGGAATTGAATCCGTCCTTAGATTCGGAAACTGTTCCATATCCATTCGGAGTTGATCCCATCTGGCAGATGAGTAAAAACAAGATCATTTTCTTAAACACTTTCAAGATGAAACTCTCCATCATATTCGGTGTTTTGCACATGATTTTCGGCGTCTCCATGGGCGTTGTCAACTACGTGTAAGTTCCATCAAAATACTCTCAATCAATATAATTTATACTAAAATTACTTTTCTACTCAGACACTTCAAAAAGAAGTTCAGCATCTTCTTGGAATTCTTGCCACAAATTATTTTCCTGGTTGCGCTCTTCGGCTGGATGGTCGTCATGATGTTCATCAAGTTCGTAAGGTACGGATCCCAAGGCACAGATTACCGAATCGGTTCTTCTTGTGCACCTTCCATCCTCATCATGTTCATCAACATGATGTTATTCAAAGAACCAACGCAACACGACAACTGCGACCTTTACATCTTTGAATTCCAACCAACACTTCAAATGATTCTAGTCGTCGTTGGTGTACTATGTATTCCGGTGATGCTGTTCGGAAAACCGATTTACATCATTCTCCAAAGGAAGAAGAAGCAAAACGTAAAATCTCTAACTTTAATTCAATAACAAATTAAATAAATAAATATTGAAATACAGATGCAAAGCAATGGGGATGTCAATAGAGGAATGGAAATGCAGCCAGAATCGATCGAAGAAAGAGCAGCGAAGAAACAAGAGAGCGATGGTCATGGACACGGTGATGATGAACCCATCAGCGAGGTCTTCATTTACCAGGCGATCCACACCATCGAATACGTTCTTAGTACAGTTTCTCACACCGCTTCTTACCTTCGTCTTTGGGCCCTCTCCTTAGCCCATTCTCGTAAGAAAATCTACATAAATAATCAAACAAACTAAATCTATATTCTTCATTATTTTTAATTTAGAATTGTCTGAAGTATTGTGGACTATGGTGATGAGACAAGGTTCATCGACATCCTTCACTGGAGCGCCGTTCCTCTTCGTCGTATTCGCATTTTGGGCCTTTCTAACAATAGCAATCCTCGTCATGATGGAAGGTCTTAGTGCGTTCTTGCACACTCTGCGTCTTCATTGGTAATTAGAATTCAAACTAAATTATTTCATATAAATAAATGGTTTTCTTCTTTAGGGTGGAATTCATGAGCAAATTCTTCATCGGCTTGGGCTACCCCTTCCAACCGTACAGTTTCAAAGATATTTTGAACGAAAGCGAAGATGATTAATTATTGCTTCCCAAATACTTAATTGTTTCAATAAAAGCAAATTATAACAGTTGTTTATTATTTGTCCCAATCTTTTACAAAAAAAAGTACAATAAAATTATTTCTTTTCAAATTAATCTTTTGGTTAAAGATATGAATTTCAATGAATACTTTATGAATGTACAACAATGTACAGATTGATGTAATGTAATATTCATAGAACGAAATGTGACCTCATTTAGTGGTCCTTCTCGACCAACTATTGTTCGTGCATGAATCAATGAGAAAACTGGATTATGTAAAGTGTTTTTTTTTTGCTGGTTTCTGCTAACAAAATGACAACATACATTCGGTGAACTTCCAAAATTAATCGCAATTTGAAGATTTGTTAAAGTAAATTACTCACAGCATTTAGTACATGTAATTACATTTAAACTTGTAGTCTATATAAATCTTAAGCATAAATCATACATAAACATACTTAACAAAACGGGTCTATATCGCAATTGAAATCCCGACGTTCGAAATCCCGAGTGTATCGAAATTCCGACTACCATAATCCCGACAATCGAAATCCCGACAGTGTCTTTTATTATTATAATTTCTAAATAACATTTTTAAATTATTCTACATATTTTAATAGATACGACGGATATTATTAAGTTTTAGATTGTCGGGATTTCAATATAGTCGGGATTTTGATTGTAGGGATTATGGCAGTCGGGATTTCGATATAGACGGGATTTCGGTTGTCAGGCTTGCGATTGCCACCGAACAAAACATCTCGTTTTGATCCACGAGATTTACCATACGCGGGTTTCTCTATGGGATTAAATTTTATACTAAAAATATATCCAATTCATCAGTTATACACGTACAAAAGTTTCGCCCATTAAATTCTTATACAATTAGTGTATTTTTAAGTGGAAAAGTGTGCCTCTCGGATATCCGCGGCACTTTTAGAAATATATATAGTAAAAATTATAATACACAGTGTATTGTAGGTAAGTAAACAACTTTTAAACTTATTTTTGTCTTAGTGTGTCATCAAATTTTGAAAGTGTGCCGCGACAATAAAAAATGGTTGAGAATCACTGATCTACACTTATCAATTTTCATATTAAATCTTTTGTTTCTTCTTAATCAATATATTATAAAAATATAAAACGTCATAAATAAATTATATAAAATAAGTTTTCTACTTCTCTTTTCCCTTCACATAGCTAATAAGTTTTTATAGGTGCAATTACATGTTTCATATTCATGCTAGGCAACCAAATGAACAACTTCAAGAAGACCATGCAGTGTTAAGGGCGGCCGTAGCAGTGTGGCTATAGTCAAAATAATTGGTTCAAACCGCAAAAACCAACAAAAAAGGGGGTAGAATAATGGCCAAGAGATTTGTATCATTAATAATCGATATAAAATTCTTCAATTTAAAAAAAAATCAATTTTAACTAGTAACAGATTGTGACAAAGTTAATAATTTCTACTTTTTAATAAAAATAATTGTTGATTGAAGAAATGTTTCAATAATTATTAAAATATTTCCAACTTGTCTCCAATTCGTATGCAACCAAATTTACACATGCAAAGAGCTTTCATGAAAACCTAGTTGTTTCCGTCTCCAAACATCCTCTTCATAATTGATTGTTTAACATTATTTTCACGTGGCGGAAACTGGCGAAATTGTGCGCGGCACAAGCTTAATGAGAAGGGTGGTGGAAGAAAGAAGAAGAAGTTAATTTCAATACGTTGAATAAAGAATTTTCCATTATGTTGCTTCTGTTTAATGAGTGAAGAACTTCTAATACTTTTAGGTTTGAGAATTTATGTTATATAATTCAATGACGATAGGGGAATATGAAACTAAAGTTCAAAGCTAAGAGTATTTCTCCAGTTCTTCACATTGACACAAGGTGCCAGCTGTCATTTCACGACCCATTAAAAAAATCATTACCCACTAGTTGAGAAACGCTGATTTAGGGAATGTCAAACATAAACGTTGATAAAGAAAGTTAACTTAAACTTTCTTCATTATTGTTTAAAAGTCCAAACGTTCTTTCCTTCATTGTTTAAAATTAATTTCAAAACTTTGAATGAAGAATTTTCCATTATGTTGCTTCTGTTTAATGAGTGAAGCACTTCTAATACTTTTAGGTTTGAGAATTTATGTTATATAATTCAATGACGATAGTTGAATATGAAACTAAAGTTCAAAGCTAAGAGTATTTCTCCAGTTCTTCACATTGACACAAGGTGACAGGTGTCATTTCGCGACCCATTAAAAAAATCATTACCCAATAGTTCAGAAACGCTGATTTAGGAAATGTCAAACATAAACTTTGATAAAGAAAGTTAACTTAAACTTTCTTTACAATTGTTTAAAATTGTAAAACGAACTCTTTATGAAAATCTGCAATCTGGTAGAAAGCATTGCAAACACTTAGATATTTACTTTGATACTTTAAATAGAAGGATGAGAGGAAAGGTAAAAAAACACGAATCAATTTGGGAGTACTTGCATTCTTTATTTAATATTTCCCTTTATGTTCTTTTTTTTCAGTTACTTCTTGTTTCTTGTAAATTAGTGTTATATATATATATATTTTCGTCATTTCACCATCATTTCTATTTCTTTTTTGCTTTCAGGACAACAAAAATATATTCATATATATATATATTTTTTATATATTAATTACATGTTATGTATAATCAATATTTATAATTACGCATCAAGTACTATTTAATTCTTTCTTTCATTAATTCTTCTTTAACACCATTGAGTGAACTGCATATTTTTCTTTTTTAAATGAAACGCACATTCGATCATGTACTTTTTTCCTTATCGTTCTCATCTCAACGTCCTGTTCTTCCGTCCATCATACGCAACTCTTCTCCTTGGAGAGAGAACGTACACAAATGAAAGAAAAAACAAACGATTTCTCAATACAAAAAAAAACCGCAAAGAGAACTGTTTTCCAAAAATAAACAAATACATGTATTCTCTATCTCTCACACACGCAGGAGTGAAAAAAGAACAATTGAAACAGAAAATAATTAATATACGATAAACGAAATTGAAATAGAAACACAAACAGTGCACTCAATTTACATAAAATAAAATCCATCTTACTATTACAATTGTATTTATTAGAACGAACAAGGGGGAGGCTAGGAAAAACAAGTTGTTTTTTTTTCAATTGCTTGTTTCACCTTTACATCATAAGCCACAACTGCATTATTTATTTTTTTTTTTTCATATAATTATATATAATACATTAATCAATTTATTTTCTCGTTCACATATTCTTTACGGACACATAACAATGAAATAATAATAATAATATGTAGATATATAGTTTTTTTTTTATATAACTTTAGATTTTTGAGGGGAGGTAAAAAGGAGGATATAGTGTAGGATTCACTAGTAAGGCAAAATGTTGTAATAGTATTTTTTTTGTTGTAGAGATTTTTGTTTCTTTTCAATTAGGCACTAAAATAATAAAAAGAGGTTAGACTATGTATGTATATATCATATATACTAATTGCTTAAAGAAAATTATCTAATCGGCGAAACGAGTTGGCCGATGTTCGACAGATGGAACATCAACCACCAAATGGATTCGCGCGATCTCATTCTTATATTCTTCATTCTCGTTTAATCATTTATTTATTTACGTTCTTCGCTTCATTTTTTTTTTTCATCTTCGTCATTTTTCGTTTATTTATTATATTAAAAAAAGAAAATATTGAAATTAATGTATCAAGAAACAAAAAAACAAAATAATAAGAAGAATATATAAAATTACTTCATTGGATCCGTCTCTCGCAAATTGGTAATATAATAACTTAACGAAATAAATCTATATATGTTCATATATGCATATTTATAATAATCAAGAAGGATCGGATCCAACGAGGTTCAAATTGTTCGCTGTTTTTTTATTTTTTTTTAAATATATTATTATTATTATTATTGTCGCCATGACAAAAACTTTTTCTCTTCGACTTGAAACAGTTACAAAAAACAAAACAAAAATAGAACATAAACGCAGCGAACAACTGAAGTCTCGGAGAGTTTTCTTACATTACTTTACTTGTATTTTTTCTTTTGTTTAGATTTTTTTTGTATTTTTTTTATGTTTTTTTTTCGTTTTTCGAAAGCACCTCGGTATGTTTTTTTTTTGTTTAAATTATTGTTTCACTCGCACACAGAAAAGAAATGTTCTCAAAGAAAAAACACGTTCACGCTGTATACAGATATATATATATATTTATATTATATATTGAATTAAACTTGTTCCTTGTTCTTAATTAACTGCTTTCATCAAGGTGCTTCATGTTACAACAAACATACACAATTTATATTTATATATAAATGTACAAAGTTTATTTAATTATTTATTTACTTAAACCCTCGACTCGCATTTCTTCTCTTCCTTTTACATACCTCTTCGTTAACTTAGTAAGATTTGGTGTATTTTCTTTAACGCGAAAGGTTTGTTTTTATATCATTTTTTTTGTTTTGTTTCAATTTCCAAATCTTACTGACATCCAATTTACAAAAACGCGGGCTTCGAGAAAATCTTTTCATATAATTATTTCCGTTAATTTAATCGATTTATAAAAGTTGTTCCAATAACTTTTAGAGATATAAAACAATCTGAACCAAAAATGATGACTTTGCATCTTCAGCCCTTTCCAACGATTGTAAAACAGACAAAAAAAATAATAATTAAAATAAAACATGATTGGTTACAGAGGAGATTAATTACTTAAATAATTAAGAGCTACAAGACTTTGGCTCTAAATGACTAAAGGTGCTTTTAATCCCTCTTTATTTATATTTTTACGTTAATCCACCTTCTTTACTTTCTCCATCCACTATAACCAATAGCGAAACAAAACGATTATCGTTAATTAAACAACTAAAAAAAAGGATAATAATTGTCGAGCGCGCCAACTCTGATCTCACTTCCGCGACGCTCCTCTAATTTATACATATCATCGCTTAGGGAATACTCCTAAACGGAACTTTTTCTCATTTTGTATCATCATCATATACATATGTTTCTCTCTTTCTATTGTATATATTTATTTATATATATAAACGCGTCTAGCAGAAATCAGTTTCTGGACGTTCTTTAATTTTAAGAAGAGAAACGAAACAAAACGCGAATTACCCTACAAAAATACTTCATCATCATCATCATCATAATTTCTTTTGTTTTTGTTATTTTTTTTTTGTTGTTTCGATTTTCTATGTACACAAAAAAATTGAGAGAAAAATAAAAATCAACAAAATTAAAACGATAAAAAAAATTGTTAATAATTTCACAACAAACCAACGAAAGTGGAAAATATTCAGCAGAATTCCAGAAAAAACGTTGTATATTCGTGAGCTTTAATTGTTGGATAACGCGCGCATAACGTTTTTTCCGCTCGAATTGTTGAATAATAAATTATCGAGCGGCACTAGAACTTCCGAAACGAAACAAACGATTCAAATGCAATAACAAGAAAAAAAAATAAAAACAAAATGTATATATATATATGTATATCGTAAGGTTTATAAACATCTCTCGTGCGTTGCGTCGCTGAATAAAAAAAATTATTCATCGTTCGACTCTTGTAATTAATAATTTTTTGTTGTTGTTTTACTTTAAAAAGTTTGCTTTACTCATTTACTTTTAATTGGTATGCGCGGCCCAACAATTAACGCTGTCTTTTCTGGAAAATTTACGTACAAAAAAAAAATATATAAGTGAAAAAATGTGGCCCATTTTTTCTGAACAATAGCGCGTGGACAACGAATGACATCAAACTTTAGTTTTATAAATTTTCTCGATTGATGAAATAATAAAATTTGAATATTAATAAGGAAAAAATAATCATTATAATATAAAAAACGAGTAACAATTTAAAAAAATGTAAATATTTATATAAGGGTTCTTTTTTTGGGGGGGGCGGGAGAAATGGGTGTGGGGGGATTGGTTTAGCCTCCTTTCGCGCGCGGGGGGCCTGCGTTTATACGGGGAGGAAACTGTTCCTTTTCCGTATCATATAATCTTTTTTTTGTGTTTTTAAACTTTTTTTTTTGTTTACGATATTATATGTATATATAACAATATTTTTTTAGGCGAACGAATTGGTACAAACAAACGAAAATAACCAGAACTTCGGGGAGTTTTAATTTGGTTGTTTTTCTTTTGGTACTGCGAGTATATTGTAAGTTTTGTTAGTTGCGTTGGATTTGATAGGAGGGAGCGGACAAAAATCTTGTTTTTTTTTGATATGTGATTGAAGTTCTGTAGCCTAAATGTATAAGCATTTTTTTTTGTATATATATAAATATTGTATGTAGTATATATAAATTAGTGTTTTCCCTTTGGGAATGAGGAGGAATCGAACAATTCTGCGCTAAAATTAATATGGCAGTTTCTCTCATTATTACAATATTTTTCAAGGAAAACACTAATCGTAAAAAAAAATAAGCTAAAAAACATACCTCGAGGCATAATTCAGAGCGTAACCGAGCGGAGGGTCGGGATGGGGGCCAACTTCAAAAGGCAATCCTCCTGGAGACGAGTGGCGAAGCTGAAGGATTGCGAGTGCATTGGTAAAGGCTTCCACTCTTTGGCGGCGCCAGTTATAAGCTCGTTTATATTGCAGCTGACCTCGGCCACCGGCAGCTGCTCCAGATTGTTCCTGTGTACGCTGCTGATGTCCGTCAGCAATTCCTCCCAATCCTGCCTGATGTCTTCACGGAACTGATCCCTCTCCTCGGTGACCAGACCCACGTCCCCGACCGCACCCACCTCGCCGCCAACCATATTGATGCATTCCATGCACACATCGCTCCAAATGTTGTTATTCTCTTGGCAATCCTTGTTGCACTTCTCGCATTTCACAACGTCTTTACCGAAGATCTCGGCTACGACGCTGTCCGCCCTCTCCAATTTCTCCTGAAGGCACTCGCTACAAAGATCCAGAGACCCGTAGCAGCAGCTGCACTTGGTCTGATCTGGTTCTTGATCTTGTTGCTGCATCCGCAACAATTCCTGCTCCCCGGGAAAGCAGAAGTAGTCCTCGCTGCGGCTGACTACCGAGGAGGTGGATGCGGAACCGCCGCTGGTCGCCAGACCCGAATCGCAAACATAAAAATCGCCGTCCGTTTGACATGCCTTGTCGTTTTGCTTGACGCGCACCTTAATCGTGAGCTCATCGCTGACCTTCTTGTGCTCGAAATACTTTTTCGGGATTCCACCGAACTCCGGTTCGACGTACAACAGGCCACTGTCGCTCCTCTTATAGTTAACCTTATCCAAGGTGCTCGGAATCACGAACGTTGTGCCGTCCGCGTACCGCCCGTTCAAGCTGTTACCGCTCTCCGCCTTCTCATTGATGGGCTTGAAGTGGCTACTCGCAGAATTCAACAGGTCATCCTTGTCGTCAGTGACAATCGGCAATTTCGCAGCCGCCGGCGGCTTCGCAGCTTGCCCGTAATTGGGAAGACGCGGCAGCGGCTTGTACTCTACGAAGCCGCTCTCTTCGCTGCAGTGATTCAACTTCATAAGACTCTTCGCCACCTCATCATCAAGTTCGGCATCGAGATCATCGTTCTCGGACCATTTCTCTAGTTTCCAAGGGGCCACATCGTCGTTGCCGAAGTTGTACGTCTCGAAGAACGAATTCGTCGCGTTCTCTTTCACCTCCACCGGCCAAGAGGGAATCAGTTCCAGGGAATCAATTTTCGTGTTGTAGCAGTTATCGAAAAACTCCATGGGAGCGGTGGCCGTCGTCCAGATGGAGGCTTTTATATTGGTGCCGCACTGGATGAAATTATTCTTCTTCTTCTCTCCATTATTGCCCATGAATGCCAAATTGATCTCCGCGTAATCTTGACGCGATGGCGGCGGCGAATCCAGCAGATCCCTTATGTCCACCGGCAAATCATCGTACATACTCGCGTTATCCATCGGCACCGAATCCCAGATAGCCTCCAGATTCTTGGTGTTCTTCACGTTGTTGTTATTGTTGTACATGTCCCACGGGTCGCTGCTATTCATCTCGACCACAGGAGGTTTTCTAGTGACTGCCTTATTGTTATTATTCCTGTTGTAGTAATTGTTAAACCTCTTGTTGGCAGCGCGCGCTTTCATATTATCCGCTGCATCCACGCGTAAGTGGAGCTTCTCCTCGCAGCTGGAGGAGCGACTCTGGCCGCCGCGCTTGGGGCCCTTCTTCTTCGGCGATCCGAACCACTTGGGAATCAAAGTGATCAACTTCGGAGAGGCCGCGGAAGCGGATAGGGCCGGGAAAGCCGCGTAGTACTGCTTCGCGGGGTCCTGACTGGTTGTGCCTTTCTTCCGCTGGGATTGCTCACCGATGCTGCTCCTTGCAGGTTGCTCAAACAACTCTACGGTCGTAGTATCGCTTTTCACCTCTTTCAGTTTCTCGCACAGCTCATCCACCAGCGATTCAATACCGCATTTCTAAAAGAAAATACAATTTAATACAAGCTCAAAATACAATCTTTAATCACACTGCACAACAAATCTAAACCTTTCCCGTAGGAAGTATAATAGGAACACTTAAACAATTTGAGCACACTGAAAACATTTCCTTCAGCCCCATTACATTTTAAACCGAATTATTACAAATTTACGTAATGTTAACTAAGAATTAACATTGTTTAATGATTTTAATTGCTCAAATTGGGCATTAAGTTGATTGCCATTCCTTCGGAACATTGTTGTACTTTGTGAGATCAAGAAGAGAAAATCGATTTATTAGTAGAAGAAAGTATACGTGCGCCAAGAACCATCAATTTTGAAGAAGAAAATATACATCGTTAAACATATTCAACAACCTCAACCTCGATATTATCCAATAATTATACAATATAAATACAAAACAAGACTTTCAATTTAACGTTAATCTTAAAACATGGTTTGTAGAAAACTATTTTCATATTGGAACTGATAATTTTTGTTCAAGAAATATTTTCAATTATAGTTTGCAAACAGTGATAACATTAATTAGACATTTAATGGTAGATTCTGAATATGTGCTAAGTCAATATATTTCAGTGTAGAGTTTTGTTAGGTAGAAATAATCTATATCTACAAACTACCTTTCGTGTATAAAAAAAAGTATTTAGAAGCTTCGTAAAATAAAATTAAAAAAACGATTTGTGTGCGTTACAAAAAAAAACATGTAGTTCTCATATACTACTGTGTATGTTCGTTGTTCGGGTTTCTCGTTGTTAGTAAATACCTGGTCAGAGGCAGACTTAAGACATTCAACAGCGGCCGAGCGTTTCAGTTGGTCCGCATCAGCGTGTGCATAATCTGTAGATCGACAAAATCTCTTCCTACCGCCTCCAGACCGTCTTAAATCCTACATGCAATTAAACAGTTGTAATTCTACACAAGTATTAAGAGTGAGCCTTCCCTCTAGTAATCTAGTGTTAATTTAGTCACCGAAAAGTTCAATTATTTGATTTTTTTTGTATTTAGATAATTTTGTGTCCAGAAGTGTTTTTTTAGAGGAAGGCCTATTCATCATTGACATAATATACATATGTACTTATTTTTGTTTTTGAAATGTCTTATTACAGAAAGATGAAGCTTACCTTCCCGTTATTTGACAGCAGATCTTGATCAGGACAAATTATATCGACTGGATCACGATATAGTAGGCTCAAAATGTAGCGCGTGTAGACGACTGCATCAATACCACGAGCTTCCAACTGTTCTTCAAGCCATTCAGACACTGCCGAGGGCATGGAGACCAATTGTGGATACTTCATACTATACTACAAACAGATAAAAAGAGGCCCCCGCACTGTAAGTAACTTTGCAATTAAAATCTACGAATAGCTTAGGGAGGAACGCGCACTCCACATTGAGGTATGCACTGAACCTTCAAGAGATGTATACTAAAGAAGTGCGCTTAACCAACCATCTGCACTTTTGGTTTTGTGGGGGGAAATTTCTATGCGGGGGATGCACGAGTGGCGCGCAAATATTCTATTGACCCGGTCGTAAAAATAAACAAAAAATCGGGTGTTGCCGCTTATTGCATGTACTTTTTGGAATCGTCTCAAAAGGGAGGCATTTCCTAAAACTCGCAAATTTACCTGATGAACGTTGATTGTGTTTGGGGGGAAAATGTGCGAACGCCATTCGCATGCCATTATACGGCAATTTTGGGGAGAAAAACATGCGCCATTAGAAACCAATTTGAAGAATTGAAATAATTGGAAAATATTTACACAAAAGAAAAACATGCTTTACTACTGGGCACACTTTTCGGGAACAGCTGCAAAACCTTTTGAAAATGAAAACATGTGCAAAGATGTAAGATACCCTCAACGATTATTTGCGAACGATTTAAAACGTGATTTAAAAGGTAAAATGTGACATTAAACTTCCAAGAAAGTTCAGTAACATATGTTTATGTGTTTAAATAACTCGCAATACTTAACTTTTGAGCTTACAGGTGGATTTTCGTTTTTGTAACTTAATTTTATTCACATTCTATACAGTTGAAAATGTAAAATTGATCTGATTCATTTAATAATTATCATTATATTGAGGAAGTAGATTAACTAATCAGATATGAAACTTTGATAATTATTACTATATAGATTTAAGTATGAATCATTCATAAAATTTAATGTTAATCTTAGATAAGAGTTTTGTATTCTTCTAATTAAATGTCTTAAATCAATTAAAATAGTTTGTTATAAGTTTGCAAATGTTGAAAAAGTCTTACCTTAATAAATATTTTGATGACAAAAGACCATGCGAGGTGGATCTCTCCGTCCGTGAATCCTTGCTTCTCCTTTCTTGCTGTTATCCTTCGAGCCTCTTGTTCCTTCCTACTAGTTCTTGCTCAGCAGTGCTTTAGTTCACGGGAGGTGTGTGACTGCTTGCTAATGTAGAGTACAGCAACTTTGCGAAGAATGACGTCTCGATTTCTACTCATTGTACAAAATATTCGGTAGGTGCCAATCGTTGAATTAGACGCATCTCAGCAGTAAATTCGTGACAATCCCTGCGCGTAAACGTGTGGTGGGTGTGTTTTGAGTGAGTGTGTGTGTGTGTGTTTAAGAAGTAAGTGTTTGTTACATAAGTATATGTTCCTTTGCCCAAGTTAAGCTTCTTCCCTTTCCCTTTCCTTTTTCTCTTTTATCGGCGTCCCAAAAATAATCCCCCAAACGAAAATTTAAAAAAAGAATCGAAGGAAAAAAAAACGACGACTCCCTTTCTTCTGAGTGAACGAATCTGCAGTGCTTTTCTATTTTCTCTTCTTCCTTTCTGTCGTTATTCCTCGTGTATAATATTCTATGTATATATATATAAATACAAATAGTTCGCGTCTCGTAAAAAAACGGAAACGGAAACTCGGATCAGAAAATCAAAAAATAAAACGAAACCAACGAACTCAATAGAAAAAGGAAATCCGTACGTAACGTTCCTTCTCTTCCGGGATAAAAAACCAAAAAGGGACACTCGAATGCTGGCTGTCAAATCCAAGTCGTGTTTTTTCCAATGCTTCTTCGTTCTTTTTATTTTTCTTTCTTTCTTTCTTTACTTATTTCGTCTTCTCTTGTTTCTTCGTGTGATTTATGCTGCTTGGGTTGATTACTTCTTTTCTTCTTCGTTTATTATCTTCTTGCTTGCTTGGTTTTTAGGTTTAATCACTATACTTTTTCGTTTCCTTGCAGACCCCCATTGTAAACCTGCAATGAGAACGAACAAAAAAAAATGTGTAAATATTATGATTATGCATATAAATATTTATTCAGAGAGCAAAAAAATGGCACGTTAAAAGTTCAATAACTTGTTTTCAGCTTAAGGAAATAACAGATTGTATTATTTTTGTCATACTGAGAAATTTTACGAATTATACCAATTAGATTGAAACTGGTAATACAAGTAGAATAACAAGTCTAAACATTATAATAATTCATGATTGAAAAACCTTATGGTTGATGGTCAAATTGAAAGGAAATCTGCTTAACATATGCAAAAACTGCGGCTAATTCCAATAATTATTTATATTAAATTTAAACAAAAACATCATTAGGAGTCTAGACTGGAATTTACTTGGCAAACTAAGTTGTTTTCAACTGTTTAGAACATTTTTTTCAAAACAATTAACTCCCTTTTAAAAGATTATTTACAAGTGTCCAGTTAATGTTTCTAATCACTCTTTCAAAACACAACTAATCAAGCAATTTGATAACTTGTACATATACTTGGTGAGTACAGGAAGAAGCGTAGTTTTGTGTTATCTAATTATGTGAACAGTCAATAGATTCTGATAACAATAAATCTACATGACAATTGTTGTCTTAAGATGTTAGCAATACAGTAGTGACTTGACAAGTTTTGGGTGAAGCAATTGTACATTACAGTTTCCTTGTTTGCTCCGAGTGGAACTATTGCGAGTCGCCATTGAAAACCATACCCGAAGTGGTCAAGGTCGGCCCAAACCTCGCACAATTCCGAGACTCTTTTCTTTCCTTTTCTTTCTTTTTATAAAAAGACTTCGAACAACTTCCAGACAACGAACGTACGCTACGCAAATTGTGCAAACAACAAAAGGAAATCGAGCGCGCGCACCAGACTCAACAACAAAGACCATTTTCACGCCGTCTTTCAAAATAGACCCGGTTGAAAAAAAAGGACAATGATGTGGATGAGACGCAAGCAGAAAGGAGCCAGTACCAGTGCTATTTTTAACCGCAAATCCGGTATATTTAACCATCAGCGGGTCAAAGTTCGCGCCTCCCATTCATATACTTGAAAACGGAGAATTCGAATACGCCAATAATGCATATATTTTTTTTTCTTTTCACGTCGAATTTTTTTTTTCACGCGTGCCGCCTCTTGTTACACAAGAGATAAGCGTAATCTTATCTGCCGGATAATTTGCATTCCACCGTTTAATCGGACAGATATGTGTCATGTGTATAAATATTGCGAGGAAAAAAAATAATAAACATTCGGTGCAATTATTATTGTGCAGGTTAGGTACTTCCAATTTATCTCTCGATTATTTTGTGGTTATCGTGTAATTGAATAATCTATAATTATGTAAGTGGAAAAATTGTGTTTGCTTTGTATGTTTTAAGACGTTTGTAAGAACTATTCAGTTTGACCTCTAGATAACAATACGCGACTAAATGTAAATAATGACAGTAACGAGTGTACTTCAGATATTTTATTGTTTATTTCTTTTTCATTCAATATTTGCTGTTAATACAGTAAAGTATTAAAAAGAAATTTCTGTATAAAAGCTGCAAAAACCTTTATAAGTACAATTATTTATATTTTTCGACTCGTTACTTGTCATGTAACGTTTTTCAACATTTTTTTTTCTGAACGACATATTTGGTTAGTATTTGAACCAATTGCTAAGTATATTTCACCAATTTCTCGTTTTGACACAAGGTGACAGCTGTCATTGCGCGACTCTATTCCTAAGTATATTTCACCAGTTCCTCGCTTTGACACAAGGTGACAGCTGTCATTTTACGACCCATTAAAAATTTAATGCGACTCATAGGTTGAGAAACTCTCATGTAACGTATTTCACATTAAGAGAAATTCATCAGCAAAGTATGAAATTGGTAAAAAGTAAACTCCAAGATTGTGTAAAGTTTTCTTAGGTTTTTCTATTGATTTTGACCTCTAGATGTAAGATACATAGAAGGCAGGCAGCCAACCAGCCACGAGACGAAATCCGGAGGTCAGACCGTAAGGGCATTTACCGTTTAAATCGAAAGCGTCGGCGCCGGGCGGCATATAAAAATTAGCGTCGCGATGCCGAACGTCGGCGTCGTCCGTGAACAATAATAGCCTTTTTATAGTAATCAATGTGACACTCTTCTTTTCGTTTTTAGTCCTTTCTCTTCTCACATACAACAACAAAAACACACACAAAAAAATCCATTTATTTAGAAAAAATGTACATATTCATTTTATATAATTGTGTAGGACATAAAAGACCTTTATATTCAGTATAGTAATTACATCGTTTATCAATAGATGGCGCATCAAATGAGCAACGTTAATTAGACCGTATATTTTCAATAAAACATTGCACAGTGATTAATATGCCTTTGTGGATTTATACATCGCATTGTGAACTCAATCCATCGATTTGAAGCTTTGCCTGTGTATGAATTGAATCGTGTAGGTCGAGGATTAAAACTAATATGCACCAATTAGTAACTCGCAATGAAGACAAAAAGTGACGTTTTTGGGGATGAAAAAACACAAAATAGTTCAAATTTATATAAATTTAAAAAAAACTATACAACTTTGTATATTTGTGTAAAAATAATTTTACAAAAATTTCAGATTTAACACAAATTTTTAAAAAAGGTATTTTGTACCAAAATTTGAATAAGATAACAAAATTAGCTGAAATCTTCTAAAAAATAAAGCATCTGTCAGTATTACTAATTAAAATAGAATGCTGTTTAAAATTTTGTTGCTGAAATAAAACCAATTAAAACGTGACCTTCTCAACTCCATAAACGTTCCAAGAGATGCAATCCATTCCACGCTGTATCTTTTTGAAAATTCGTAGTAAAAGCCTCTTCTTTGCGCAGATTAAATAAGGAATTAATTGAAGAAAGAAAGAGACGAAAAAAAAATATCCATAAATTGTCTCGAATAAGAACACACGACTAAATGTCAACCTGTATAATTATAAAATTGATTGTATTTTTTTTTGTTTCGTTCTTGAATCGGACATTCGGCCTTGAATGCGCTGCGTGCAGAATCAAACAAACAAACAAAAAAACATGTAACAGTGGCAATGATACGCGTTGTAGGAAACACGAGCATCCAGCGTTTAAACGAGAAATCTGTTAGCATCGTTGCAAGAGACGGAAATAGAGCAAATTGAATTTTTAAAATAGAACAATTTTCTACTATTAATACGTTATTCTCGTGGGCGGTTCGGTTTGCATTTAACCACTTCCTTTCCGCTCTTTTCTTCTACACGACCACTTGATTATAGCAAATTGTTGATTACTTCCTAACGACAAAGGAAGAGTTTATTGTGATGATTGTAAGTGAACCGGAATCGCGATTGTATTAATGCAATAAATAAATTCGTTGGGATTTTCGATGAATCACCACGAGCGCTATCACAAAGAAGTTCAAGAGTTGAAAATATAAAAGGAATATAAAGCAAATAGTAGTTTTCGATTAATTGAAGCCAATTAACTGATTGATAAACGCAACTAAAACGACTTTTACGTGTCATTGAAGATATGTAACAACATAATAACTATTTTTTTCTTTCATAATGTTCTATTTCGATTTAAACCACAATAAATTACACCGTATATGTGTGTATTTCATCATTTGTTTAGTCTAAATTGACAATCTTTTTTTTACTTCTGATATCAATAAACACATTTTTATTATTTTATGTTTCACGTTCGAAGTTAATGACTGTTGTGAAATGAAATCACGACAATTCGTATGTGCGCTACACATAAATGTAATAAGAAATGGACGTAATTGGGTTAATGTCAGCAGAAAAATTGTACGCACGATTACGTGATGCACGTTGCGTACTTACTTCTTTGTTACCAAGTGCATGTAAATATTTTAAGTTTGCATGAATGAAATATATAAATGTATACACTTAGGTTTATTTATATACCAAAACCATTAAAGTATTTGCAAAATAATGAAGTATTAATTTACAATCAAATGAAAACACGATAGTAAACAGTAATACTTATAATTTGCTACGTTAGAAATGATTTGATTACAAAGCAATTAATGCAAATTGTTTGCATCCACATTCTTGACCATTATCTTAAACGTGATTACATTAACTGTTATTAGCATCATTATCTATCAGGAAAACATGTTTTCATATTTCATTTCTTGGTATACTTCAAGCAAATTCTGATTACAGCAATTACAAATGTATATATCATAAGTCTAGACAATACAAAGCACTTTTTATTACTTTCAGATGTAAACAAATCCACGTTCATTCATATTTCACTAATAAGAAAACAAAGGCATCTATGAAATAGGTATGTTATTATATCAAATTTTACTTATGTCATGAAGTTTAATGACATAATCTAGTATTGATTGGTTCATTCATAAAAATCGCCGTACGCCGAGCACTAAATAGTAGTGACTCAGTTATTTTGAATGACTTCCAAGTTATTCATAGATTCATCGACCAATTTAAACGACTAATGATGAGGCTCTATCCAAATTATTTATGGATTTGTCTATGTCAAAACAACAAAACTCACTTTTCGTGGACAACAAATGTTACAGCATAAAATCAAATGTATAAACAATTATATCCAATTACCTTATCTCTCATTAAATAACAAATGAGTCAATATTTGCTAACTGTGTTGTTTCAGAACATACTCGAATTTCATTGGCTTTTCTTAATAACATTCATTAATTAATTAATTGTAAACAATTAAATAAATAGTAAATCATTATCTGCGGTTGTTGTTGTTGTTAACCACACATTTAGTATTATTTGGAAATAAAACAACATGGATAGTCATAACATAGACTAGGTTGTAATTATTACCATTATATAATTTTAATGGAAATAATTACATTAATTATTGATCAGTCTGCAAAATGTTAGAATTGTAATAACATAGCCATTTTAGTAAGAAATAAGCTTTAAATTTAGATACAGGATGTATTCAGTTGGCATATTTCCAAGCACTTTTCTATAACCTCAAACAGCGCAGATTTTGTTTTCGATGTTGTTGAAGTAGAAAATCAATAATATTTTGATATATTTCAAGTTCATTAATCAACTTATTATTGAGTAAACAATGTAATTTGTTAAATAACTGACATCAAATTATTTCTGTTGTTTTTTTTTATAACAACGTGCGTTTCTCAAACTATGGGTGACGACCCAAAATTGGGTCGCGTGACAGCTGTCACCTGGTGTCAAAGCGGTGAAATATCATTGTCACGTGCACTTAAATGAAAATAATTTATTTGTTATCTAATCACTGTTACGTGAAAACTCGCAAGTATCGAAAGAAACAAAGTATTAAAATATTTGTATGGAAAAAAGTGGTTTTACAAACACCAAATGGAAATAGAGGAAGCAAAAAAACAAACAAGATAGGCTTAAATACCGTACAAATGTTTCAGCTATAAATATACTTGACAACAGCTTAAGAACCCGAAGACTGAAACGTTTCAAGGTGTCTGATCTATCTTTAATTAAGACCTGCATTGTGTTAACTAAGAGAAATTACTCTAAGTTGTTGTAACAATCGTGAAATTAACTCACAATAAATATTTATAAGTATCAATTTCAAAAGTACAAATAATTAAATACATTCATACAATTTTTATGACATTAAAAGTTCGTTGCGTGTTTTGTATCTATTTTTTTTGGTAGCTGTGGGAATGGGACAGAATGAGGTAATTAATTAATATTTTTACTTTGTATGACCCAAAATAGTATATATATATATCCGAACCCACCCCTCAAATTTATATATATATATATAAATATACACTACACACAGACAGACTAGAAGAAAAATCAATATCGGACCTTTGGTCGGCAGCTTTCACGAATCGATAAGTTTGTTGAAAAGCACACAGCTTAATCATAAGTTTCGTTCCAAACAAAAACGGGAATGAGTAAACAGTGGGTAATATCGTACACGTGGCAAGATTCACATTTCAATGTCTACAATTTTTACATTATTCATTAAACGAGTTTTATTTTATTGAAAGAAGATTAAATTAAAAGAAAAACATCAATAATAGAACTTTGATAAAAATTCTTAAATTGATAAATTTATTTTAGAAAAAGCACACAAAGTTCCTGTACATTCAAATATGATTGAATAAATAAAACATATCAAGCGCGTGGTAAGGATAAGATCCTAATTGTTAAACATTTTATCTTTGTATAAATAATGCATGTTTGATATGATAGTGACAAATCGAATTTATCTGGGGAATTAGTTTGATGGCAGATGAGGGATGAAAATCCAATTTAGCTCCGATTTCCCAACAATCCCGTTAATTGAATACATTACGAGCTCGATGAAGCAGGAATCCCCGAAGTGTAATACCGAGAAACGGAAGTATCGCTCTTCGGAATATAGGTTTTCGGGACATGATCAGCTGTTCTCGACGTTCGTTCATTACGCAATATTTGCATTTAGTACGTTTCAAACTAAAATTACATCAACATTTATTCGATATAAAACGTACATTTTATTTTAAAGTCAATAAAAGAACTTCACGTTTATTCTTTGGTAAAGTACATCAAATATTTAAATATTTTATCGTGAACATTAAAATACACATTTTTCATGCAAGGAAAGTTTTCTGTGATACTGTTGATAAACAATGATTATATTACAATAATCTATTACAAACAAGATTAATACATGTTGTAGATTGTGCAAATATTAAAGAACAAACAAATTATGAACTTTGTCGTTTCCAAATTTATAGTATCATTCAATTAACATACTCATCAAAGCACGACAAACGTTAATTATCAAACATGAAGTATTCCATTGAAACTATTAGCTTACGGGAAGTAATTTTACGAGTGATTCAAATTCACTTAAAAATTTCACATTTGTAACAATACAAAAAAGAAACATTGATCTCAATTAGTAATAGATACTTTAATACCATTACTCCCATTATTTTGTATCCAATTACAGATTAGTAAAATACACATTATTCGATTTCATGGTAGATCTAATTATTTTACATTCTAATTTTCGAATGTCTTTAAGTTTACACGTAATCAAATTTAGTTTTTCTATATGATTTAAAAGTAAAAAAAAAATTTATGTTAGATTTTTGAGGAATATAAAAAGGAAATTTATTGTTTCCAAAATTGCTGCATTATTTTAAAGTTGTCGGTAGACGTTACCTTTGTTTGAAATTGCTTTAGTAAAAAAAAAAGATTCATGATGAAGTCACAACTATATATAGGCAACGATCTACGCCCTAATTGTTTTAGTTGCAAAGGAAAATGTGTTCATCTCGAGTCCCCCCGGATCTAAGTGACACTTATATTTTTTTTTGTAGGAAGTTATTAATAGGTATAAAAACAGTGATCACCCCTATATTAGATGTATAACAAATATAGAGTAAGAGGGGCCTTGAATTCTGCGTGCATTTTAAGTGCAGTTCGAAATCTAAAAATAAAAATGGAGTAAATAAATGTGCCGAGGCTTATCAGTCGTCGGGTTGAATACGCTCAACCAGCAGTGAATTTAAAACGTACACACGCCGATATATTTATAGATCATTGTTTCCTTCCTCCGAGGAGTTTACATTTATAGAAATAAAGCGCGTCGGTGGAGGAGGATGAGAAGAGACGAAAGGAGGACGAGAGAATCGATCACCGTCCAAAAGTCGAATTCCCGTAGATAAACATCAATACTTCTGCTGTGTGTATGGTGTGGTAGAGTAGAGAAAAGTGTTGGAAAACGCGTCGCTGCATTGGTCGTAGGGAATGGCGCGTGACCGATTCCCGCCATTCCGTTGAAATCCCATGCACTCGCATTCTATCTACGAATGCAAAATAACCGAATTACTTGGCCATACCGAAATACCATCGGTTAATTAACATTAATTGGGCTTAATTACCATTGTTTCTCTTTTCTTTTGATTTTCTTTTACTTGACTTAACGCGTGAATGCACAATAATTAATGGTGCGTGCACACGGTGCACCCATTTCAAGGATATACCGATTTTGCGTGCCTGTCAGTGTCATGCATATTTCAGTGACATGACGAAAGGAATGTGACAGTGTCACAGAAACGCCATTGACAAATGCATTGTAGAGGGAAGGTATGCGATTGGAGGTTTCACCTAATAACAAAACAACAAATAGCACACACACATACGAAAAAAAAATAAAATGGAATGCGAATTTCGGTTGTAAACAAATGGTTTTGTTGATAAAGCGATGAGACCTGGTGGTCTCGGATTGCGAACTAGGATACTACTGCTAACTAGTCTAAAACACAAACTAAAGTACGCCATTACATTGCACAATAGACGGCGTTTGTTTCGCTATCGGCGATGACAGGCTCGTAGGTGGATGGATTCTAGATAGGTTTTCGGTTGGTGCTTGAGTTTCGGACTTACCTTACGATCGGGGTTGATGTTTAGTCCCAAAGTTGTCTTTACACACCCCACAATTAACAAAACATGGCAGCTATGCAGCCAGGCACAATGGCCAGAGTGCCAATCAGAGTTAGTCCCGCTCAAACTGCGCCTGCCTGGGCCGACGCGACGTCACGTAGAGATGCGTGCGAGCAAAAGCACTTTCAAGGATGATGCCTTCTCTCCTTCCAAACCAAGTCCGAACCATTCCTAGGTCCTTTAACTCCCCCCCTACCCCACGGCGGTACCCCCATCGCATTTCCATTATAATTTCCACCGTCTGCCCGAACTTTGTTGATGCTCAATCTCGTCGTCCTTCTCCTCTTTTTTTTTTGTTTCTTCTCTCTGTTTTCGCTTGTTCCAGGTTCATTCGTCCTGCGTCCCCCCTCATTTCGTTCGCCGACCTGGTGCTGCTGCACGTCTGGCAAATCACCTTTGAACCCGACAAACACATTCACCCCTTCTCGGTACAACCAAAATAACATCCGTTCAAGGGTGACGCAGAACGCTAGGAAAAGTGCAATTCGCGTGCTTATCTCCACGTCTCATGGATAATCTCTAAACATTTCGATTGCATAACTTGCATACAAATAACGAAACGCAATTTATCGATCCTACTGTTCTTAAGACACAACTTGCACGCTTTTCATTCAAAACTATTAGTCACTCGCATAATTACCTCTGTCCATTAATTTACATTGTTAGCATCCAAAACAATATCAAATAAGTATATCAATTAATGTGTACTACACAATTGTTTTGTACTAAACGAACATAAATTTATGTTAATACTACAATTCGTGTATCCTAAACTTTTCATAAGCTGTTAAAAGCTGTTAAATTTTATTGGACTCAAAATAAACTACTTCATATTTTTTAAAGTCTGTATAAATCTATTATTTTCAGTTTATAAAATACAGTGAAACCTCGTTTAACGAGTTTAATCCGTTCCAAAATTTCCAAAAATACTCGTATTGTAAAACATATTCAAAAATTCATCGTCACTCGTTATGCGAAACGTTGCTCGTTAAGCGAGTCATTTTTCTTACAGTTCATTTTGCTCGTTAAGCGAAATGCTCATTATGCGAGGTTTCACTGTAGCTATACTTTATAAATGTATTTTTAATAATGTAATTGAAAATGATTTCTAACAGAAACGTTGAATTTTCTATTTGTTTATTAAATCTAATAAACGTTTATAAAACATGTAAAAGTATATGCAATTTTGAATGTTTTATTAAAATACGTGTAATTTCGTTCAACATGTTATTTTATATAATGCTAGGGCATCTCTTAAAACATAATGCATCGAACACGAGCCACGTCCGTCCATTTCCTAGTAATTTTCTTATAAAACTAAGTGGATATATTTTATATATAATCATTAATATTAAGTGACTTTCTAAATTGAAGAAGATACGTCCGTTAAATGTCAATGTAATAACACGTGAACTAATTTCCTTAGTTTTATTGAATATTTCAAAATGATTGAACGTAGATTTTCTAAATCGTCGATTAGTTTAATGTTAAATAAGATCATCGATTCTGGAAGTCAATACTTTGACCCTAGTAAGATTAAGATTGTTTGTTTTAACGCTAATAAAATTATTCAATAAAAGAAGAGTTTTAAATAGGAATGATCAGTTTTAGAATTAGTTTTGATAATTATAATCAAAATTTAAAGAATATTCAAATGAGACAAAAAATATGACTTTATATAATTTAGTTCTGTCAATTTTAAGTAATATTTTGTCTAAATATAATATGACAGATACAGTAAGAAAAAATGATTAAACAATGATTATTTATAATCTAGTAGTTGTTTACTTAAAATTTATTGATAAAAGTGCATTCAATTATTGAGAGTGCACGTGTAAATACCTGTCTGACATTCGAAAATATATAGGATATATCCACAAAAAAAAAATTATATTATCGTTTGTAATCTAAACTTTAGATAAGACATTTCAACAACAACAAAATATAATCAATTGTATGCAACCCAAGAATCAAATATTGTTAATTTTGTTAATAAGCTAACAGGCGTTTATTTGAAACATGTCAAAATATTTTAGATGATTTTTTTTTGAACAAAAATATAAATTTTAGGTATTTTGTCCTGATTGTATAAAGTATAATCAATTGTTTCATATATCAACATTGATGTAAGTAATTAAGAAGAAATCTAATTAGAACAAATTTGTTAAATTAAAAATGAATATGATGATAATTATGTTCAATATAAGTTCTGCTACTTCATTTTGGAGAAATTATTTCAACGGTAAATGCAACGAGTCAAGGCTTCGATTTACATCGAATGCTAATTGGAGGTTGTGCGAATCTCTATAGGCACTTTTTAAATGTACCGAACAGAAGTAGTGAATCACAGCATATGCAATCTTTTGCTAAGTTAAATTTAAATTAAAAGAAACGTGTTTTTATTCTATGTCACAACAATTCGGCGACATTGCATAAGGTCATTTTAATAATAAATAATATTCTAGAATTTTTTGTAACATTATGTAACGTTGTCCCGAACATGTTAAGTTGTTGTAGGCAACTTTGTTTGCAAGTAAAGTAGTGATTGAAATGTAATTTCCAATAGTAGACTGTGTGTGGTTACAATTTGTGTTTTTTTCTATAGTAAATATTGTGATTGGTTGCTTATTTTGGTAGTGAATGAAGGAGTTGTTAAAGTTTAATGGGTGTTAAGTTTCTTTGTTAAGTTTTCGTTTGCGTAGTTGGTGGTGGTTAGTGCTGTTGACAGGCAGTGATGTCAATGTGAGTGTGGAAAATTTCTAAAGTCACCAATCGAGAGAGAATTTGCTTGGACGTGCTATCCCGTATGTAGGTGACGAAAGGCAGCGATTTTTAATGGATTTTAGAGAATTGGATGTGATTTAATTGGAGGATAAACGAGAGAGCGACCAGACCGACCCAAGGAAATTAACAGTGACCGAAATGCTAGTTGTATTAAGGACAGGTTTAAGAAATAACTGGCATTCCAGCATCAGCAGACGATGTAAGTTTACGAGGAAAATTGTGGAGCGACGACGACGCAATAATAACGCAATTTTTCCGCGATTTTCCGCGATGACAGCTCTTGGAAAAGCTTCGCGAGGATTACATGCACATTTCGCAAGCCTCCTATTTTTCACATCTCGCATCTTTCGAATCCATTACGCTCCGTTATCAACGCTTTATCACAACCTGAAAAAAAAAACGAAGTTAAATAAATGATAATTTACGCGGATTAATGCAAACCGCATGATTTTCAAAGGAACAAACAAAAATTGGATTGCTCTATTTTCAGGTTGCCACAAGTGCCAGAACAGGTTCATATATGATGACTTGAAGCACTCCAACCGGATCCTGTTGTACAGCAGTCCTGGCCTCAATTCATTAATAAAATATAATAATTCTACTTTGGAGCGGACTCATCCACAATATGATCTCATTAGGAATTTCTCTGTTTCGAGCAGGCTCTATGACAAGGAACCACTCAAGCCCTCCTCGAAAGTGGAAGTGACAGTGCAAGCCTTGAAGAAGAAGCAAGAAGAGGAATTGAAGTCAGTACCAGCTGAAGCACCACCGAAGCAAGTGGCTAAGAAATCAATCAAGCAGAAGATTGTTGATGAAATAGTGCATTACTACCATGGCTTTAGGCTGCTTTTCATTGACATGAAGATCTCTGGTGGTTTGATGTGGAGGGTATTGAATGGGAACTCCTTATCCCGTAGGGAGTACAGATTGCTGATGAGAACTGTTGGTGACATGTTTAGGTTAGTTCCATTTTCTGTATTTATTATTGTTCCGTTTATGGAATTGCTGCTGCCAGTGTTCATAAAACTTTTCCCTGGTATGTTGCCATCCACTTTCCAAACAGCCACTGAGAAAGATGAAAAGCTAAAGCAGAATCTGAAAGTCAAATTGGAAATGGCCAAGTTCTTGCAGCAGACATTGGATGATATGTCACTTGAGCATAAAGACCATAATTCGCAACAGGCTAAGGAGTTTTCTGAGTGGTTCCACAAAGTGAGGAATACTGGAGAGCACGTTTCCAACGACGAAATTTTGAAGTTTTCCAAGTTGTTCAAAGACGAAATCACCTTGGATTCTTTGTCGCGTAGCCAGTTAGTCGCGTTGTGTCGGGTTTTGGAGGTGCAAACTTTAGGAACGAATAATCTGCTAAGGTTCCAACTCAAAATGAAATTGAGGACACTGGCGGCCGATGATAAGATGATCCAGAAGGAAGGTGTGGATTCGTTGAGTTTGTGGGAGTTGCAACAGGCGTGCAGGGCACGTGGTATGAGGGCGCTGGGCGTTCCCGAATCGCGTTTACGGACGCAGCTTCAGGATTGGTTGGTTCTTAGTTTGGACGAGAAGGTCCCGCCTTCGTTGCTCCTTCTTTCCCGTGCTCTTATGTTGCCTGAAACTATACCAACTGGCGACAAATTGAAAGCCACGATTTCTGCACTGCCCGACAACATTGTTACGCAAACTAAAGCGTCTATCGGAGAAAAGGAGGGTAAAATTGATAACAAAGTTCAACTTGAGGTTATTATGGAAGAGGAGAGGAAGATCAGGGAGGAAAGGAAGGAAATGGGCGACGAGTTCAAGAAATCTGAACAAGATAAGGAAGTGCTTTTGGACAAGGCGCCCACGATTACATCCGATACTGGTATCAAGAAAAAAATGCCGACTGTAGAGGAACCTAAGCGCGAAAAGAAGATCCTCATCTCCAAAGACATGGAGGCTCTCGAGGACGCGTTGGATGCCATCTCCAAAGAGAAGAAACCAATGGTCGAGAAGGTCGAAATTGAAGAGCTCAAAGAACAGATGGCCGATTATCAGGAGGATGTGCAAGATCTAAAGAAGACCGTCGCTGTTCTTCCCAAGGGTGAGATTAAGGAAACCAAGGCAGCCAAACGTCTGTACAAGAAGGTGCACAAGATGATCAACCGAATGGATCACGTCCTCAACGAGTTGGAAGTGAAAGAGGAGAAACGCAAGAAGCATTTACAGGATATTACCAGCGAGAAAGAGGAGCTTCTGAAGATCGAAGACATCATGGCTGCCATAAAGCAGATCAAAAACGTGCCAGACGAATCCAGGTTGCAACAAATTTCCATGGTCTTAAGCAAAATTGATGACGATCACGATGGCGCGATTAAAATCGAGGATGTCCTAAAGGTTAAATCAGCATCAAGTATGTACCACAAGCGCTATACTAATTATGTAATTTTGTAGGTGATTGAATTCATTGGAAAGGAGAACGTTCATCTGAGCCCGAAGCAAGTGGACGAGTTGGTCGATTTGCTTGAGAAGGAGGAGATCCTGGAGGTGGAGGACAAAATCGAGAAGGCTTTGAAGAAAGAGCAGGAGCGAAAGGAAGAGAAGAAACCGGAAAAGGAAATTTCTTCTTTAGAACTGGAGTCAAGTAAACCGACGGCGATTCCCAAGGAAGCCCTAGATAAATTGAAGATGCCGCCACCACCGCCCGCCTCTCAAACATCAGAGGTAAAACCACCGCCGAACAGTATTGATCCCAAGAGCAAGAACGATACTACTAAACAAATTTAACTTATTTATATGATATATACAGATGGATTGTATAACCTTAGATAATTAGTAAATTAATTTTCCTGTTGTTACCGACGTGTACATATTAAAATATAAATATATATATTTAATATATAATTTTTTTATATATATATATTATATGCGAGGTACGAATGGAGGATTTCTTTGAAAAAGGGCCCATCGTCATCATCGATCGATCGATTGTTTTTTCTTGTTTGTTTCTCTTCTCTTCTTTTTTTTTTGTAAATAAATATGAATCAAATGATTTTTACTTGGAACAAGGCAATTTTGTTACAGCTTATTTTTATACTTAATATAATTATAAATATAACGAAGATCGAAAATTTTGTCGCATTAGTATTATTTTGGCAAATTCGTCCACCAATTGTTTTGTTTTATGACACACGTGAACATTTGCTGACAATAAATTCTTAATTATTTTGGCCACGTGCAAAATTTAATAAATTGTTGAAACAAACGCTCGATTGTTTTTCATTTCAATTCGCACAAATCTTCCCAACCTCTCTTTTTATGCACTTGCTCCATTGTAATGTTAACCAAATAAAATTATGTATATATTATATATGACTGTGACCATAGCTACAATTGTGTTTATCCAAATAAAATAATCTAATAATTTTGAAAAAATTCAATTTATAAAAAATACTCAAGTAATTTAAAAATAAACTAGTAATTTTATGACTTCTTAGTAGTATCTAGTTTTCGGTACGTTCATGATCATTACCTACCTTCAATTCTTCTTCTCTGGTACAAGTCTTCTTCAAGTACAATGGAACCTCGCGTAACGAGCAAAATGAAAAGTAAGAAACCCCAAGTGAAGAAGTGTAAGAAAAATGACTCGCTTAACGAGCGACGTTTCGCATAACGAGTGACGAAGAGAAGTCCCGGATTGTACATTGCTACATCATTTTTAAAATACTATGTGTATTTTTGAATATGTTTCACTATACGAGTAAAATGTTTAACTTCTTAAAGTTGTCAAACATCAATTAATCTGACGAGTACAAAATAAATGAAGTTACGAAAATACTTGCGATTCTCCAAGTAACAACTTTAATACTTACCGTAAAAGCTGTGAAAATGCAAAAAAAGAAATGAAAAAGAAGGGGGTATTGGTGAATTAGTTAGGAGAATATTGCATGTACGTTGTTCGGTACTTGTTTTTCGTGTTTTGTTTTTCCATATATTTATATTCGACAACAGATAGTGTAATTATTCTTATAAATTCATTTCGCAACGAAATTCGTCCAATTGAAAAATATTTCTCGTCTCATATCTCATCTCGTCCCCAGATTCAAAAGTTCTGTATTAGTTCAGCAATAGTAATAATAGTAATAGAAGTTTTTTTTTTGTATCTTTAATATAAACATTTTCTTAATCAAACCTATCATATATATTTCTTACAATAATATACATAGTACAAAAAAGTAATATTCTTCCTCTTTTTGTTTCTTTAATAATAATAATATTAATTATGTGTGTTGTTTTTTTTTCTGTGTGAGTTTTCTTCATATTTTTTTTTGGGCTTGGGGGATAAAGGGGTGGCGAAAAAGGAAATATGTTTTCTCATAATTAACATATATATCTATATATATAATAAATATATATATATGTATGTATAGGAAGGTACTCTGTACATAAAAAAAAACATATGAACTATCCTACTGTACAATGATCAAAAAAGCAAATAAATTATATATACGTGTTTTCTTATCATTGAAACATTATTTTACATATATGACAGACAAAAAAAAAATTGAATAAAATAAAGTAAAAACTAATTCTTTAGAAAATATACAAAATATTTATATATATATATAAAAACCCTTATCAAGGGTTCACCATTTTTAAATCCATTTTCTTGCGTATATTTTTTGTATACATATATATTATATATATATAGCGTTTTTTTACCAACATCGTCAATTTTCTGATATACAAGTGTGAGTATGTGTGTTATTAAGAATCGTTGTACATAAAAAACAAACAACTAAAAACGAATTAAAAAAAAAGGAAACTAAAAGAGAAAAGTCTATAAAAAACAATAATAATAATAATAGTCGAGATCACTCGATCCTGACAGGCTACACCTCAACCACAAAGACCGAGACTGCATCCAGCTGAGGATGATAGTAATAATAATAATATTCCCAAGGATAACAAAAACAGAATTTCGTAGATAATAATTACACACTCACATAATATAGAGAAAAAAAAAATGGAACGAACTGCATCTTTTTGCTCGTCGTTGTTTCTTTTTCCCTTGGTGACCTGCCAGAGATCCCCAAATTAAATCTTCTTAAAAATTAACATCATAATCCATTTAGTTAAATTACTTTTCCTTTCGTAATAATTGGCACTTTGAATGAAATAGCACTTCTCGCGGAGAGAGTTCTTGTGTTGTTGTTGTTGCTGTTGCTTCTTATTTTCTTTTATTTATTATAATTATTTTCTTGAGAACACTTTTCGATACACCAATATTCTCTTTAACAATTTTCACCTATGCTGCCGCTGCCGTTTTCTGCTTTTATTTCACTAAATATTCAACTATGTAACTTCAATTTTTATTTAAACCTTTGCTTCTTTCTTTCTTTTTTTTTACAAAACCCACAGAAGAATACTGAATAGCAAAAAAAAATAAAAATAAAATAAAAAATAATAAAACGAAAACAAAAAATAAAACAAATTAATCATCGTCATCTTCATTCATTTTCTTCTTCAAACAGGCACAGTATACAAGTGACAAAAATATTTACATTAGGTGACCAGAAACGGGACGAAGACCGCACACTTGGCGACCACCGCGTGTGTACACATATAATATATATTTATATATATATATAACCATAATTCGAGGACTACGCCATCATCACAGATTTGAGACCTTTGCAGAGCACGGATCATCTGTGCTAGATGTTAAAGTCCGGAAATGGTACAACATTGACATATTTACAATATCTTTTAAAAACCTTCAATTCATCTTCATATTTTTTTTCCTTCTTATGTTTCGTCCAGAGTGTCCCAGACACCGAGAGGTCAACAAATGAGTAGAGAGTAGATAGATAGATAGAGAGAAAGAGGCTAATTACAACTCTGGTGACCGGTACAAAGTCACGAGTCACTACTAACAGGAAGATAAACCGTGCATATTCAGCATTTCATTCAAGTCAATGTACAAAAAAAAAATAATAAAACAAAAATATGTACACCAAAACATAATAATTAAACAAAAAAAAAAACATCTCACGTGCATCAACAGTCACACTCACGCACACAAACTAAACATTATTTAATTCCAGTGTCCTGTCCGTTTTTTCTTCGTTTCTTTTTCAACCATTTTTTTTTTATATAGTTTTAAATATTTTTTTGTATCACACGAGTAAGAAAAAATTGCTGAAAAATATTAAGCGTTTTTCTACTATCACAAGTTTTAAGCAGGCTCACTCGATGAGTCCAAGTTCGCATTGTTCTGTGCACCACTATCACCGTTCCGTTCGCTGCAATCGCTCTTTTCCAACTTGATGTGCTTGTTCAGGATGCTGGACAGGCTCGAGAGCGAGTCCTTGACTGCGTGGAAGATGATGTTCTTTATTTGCAGTTTGTCCTCGTGGTTTGAATGCGTGTCGGAGAGGTCGCGGAACTCCTGTGTCAGATGGAAGCAGTGCGACACGTTCTCGGGAGACACAAAGTCCTCTGCGACTTTGATGCAGTTGTGCAGATTCCGGACCTGATGGGGAGCACCGGCTGGAATGAAGACGGCGTCTCCAAGACATTGCACGATAGCGTACCCTTTGACACCGTATTCCTTGTAGAGGCGTTCTCTCAACGAGCCATCCAGGTAGCAGCTCTGATCGTGGATGGGATCGTGATTGGGTTTCAGGACACCTCCCGCCTCGACAACCACTTTGTTCAGCAAATCTCTGATCTTGTCGGCGTCGCGTGCATTGTAAATATGCCACAGAGCACCAGGCAGTTCGCCCTTATCCCGAACTCTCCTTCTAGTCAGTATATCACAACCGGCCTCGTCGATCGCCCGAAACGCTTCCTTGATGTGCTCATCACTATCACTATCCTTAGGGATTCCGACGTAAACCATCACATTTACAGCGTCGGATATATCCAGATGCAAGTTCGTGGTCCCATTGGACGGGTGAACGGCTGAACCGTAAGCGTTGTACATTTTAGGACCTAGGTCAGGTCTCACGAAGCAATCCGGTAGACGACTAGCCAGATTCAAACGTCCGTTTCTATGAGTATAGTCCGAAAGCGGTAGCACCTTCATCAGATCAGAGAACCTGGATGGCAACATTTCAGCGAAATCCTCACCGGACGGCCAATCCTTCAGCTTCAGCAACATCGGATTTCCGCGGTCGTCCTTCAACCTCTTGGAGAAATGCTCGAAGCCTTCCCAGAACTTCCTCATTGGCTGATTTAATACCAAACTTCCGTTGATGCAATTCACCAAATCGTTCTTCTCATCCCCGAAATCGCGAGCGAACGCGTCCGGTGTCCAAAGGTCTTTGTTCAGATACCGCGATACATCTGACACCAACACAGGCTGTCCTCTTTTCCATTGATCCTAAAGATATAATAACACAGTTAGTACATGATAGTTAATGACAAGCATAAAAGACAATGATTAATTACCTGGAAGATCTTGTGATTTCCTGTGTGCACCGGGTCACTTAGCCGCAACAGTTTTCCATCGCATAACCAGCTGTGAGGTGTGTCCGGGTATAGCAATTTACTCTCAGTCAACGTCATTATCCTAATGGGCAAAGTTCCCCGGGTTTTCGCCATTGCATTCTCTCTGGGTACATAATGCTTCAGCTCTTTGGTGGCAGATTCGGTAGCCGGGACGTTATCTTCAATGACACTAGAAATCACCTCGTCTAAAGTTTCCAATCGCGGACTGGTCTTCTTAGACTTCGGCGTATTTACAGGTGAAGAAGCTCGGCTGCTTCCATTCGGTTTGTGCGATGGTCGGATTAGAAGCTCCCGCAACGTCGAAAAGTCAGCGTCGTTGCTATCTTCGCTCTTCCGTTCCTCCGCTAAGGATGCGACGTCGGCTAAACAGCTCAACGCACTTTTGTCATCCTTGTTGTTGACGCCGCCGTTCACCAAAGGCTTATCCGGATCCTCTTTGATCTCTTTTTTAATGCCGTTCAAATCAGCTGATGCCTTCAGGATGCTTTTGATGATCTCCTTGCGAGCGCCGTTCGACTTCTGACTCACTTCCTTGCTTATCTGACATCCGCAGTGCTGCTCCACATTCCAAAGCTCTCGCATTTCGTGCACCAATCGACCAAGTTTCTGGAGCGAATCGCCTGCGATTATCTGAGTGAGCATCAGTTTCTCTTGCTCGTGAGCCTGCCTGTTCGTGCATAGCAGCCAGGAGAAGTCATCCCGATCTTTGCCGGGTTCACCCCACACCTTTATCGTTCCTGCCTTTCGACCCTTATAGCAATCCAAACACACCACAAACCCGCATTTCCCACAAGCCCAATGGAAATTAAACAGCGTTGTCTCGCATACGTCGCACATCTCTCGTACACCCTGCACTACTCTTTTCCACGCAATAACTTTATCTGAAACAATATTAATAAATTAATGTTCATATATAAAATATATTTTTGCATAAATCATTTATTTATATTTCAAAATGCAAAAATACTAACCATCTGACATATGTTCGCTGTGTGCCTCTTTCTCTTGCAAAAGAAGATTGCAGAAATGATCGCCGACTTGCTTGAGAATGAACCGCGAGGTTTCCAAATCCAGGTCGGACGGCGGTGACTCGGGCGATGGCAGCCAAAGCTTCAAGTCGTCCTGACGATCAAAAGAAAAGGAAATTATTGCTGACATCGTATTTATAAATGGTGTTTAGTTATTTCCAACTTACTTCTAATGCATCTTTATGCGGATCTGAGAATCCGGCGATGGCGAGCTGGCCGTTCTTCGTATACCTTAATCGTCGGAACGCATAGAACCGACAAAAGATGTTAGGCATGTTCTTGGACCTCTGGTTTGGGGTCCATCGGCACTCGCGGCATTTAGCGAGCTTTGGAGCGACCTCGAAACAAGGTCCATCTTGCAGAAAGCTCTCGCCGGTCTTCTTCAGTTGCCCCACGGGGGGTTTGCGAAAGGGGTCGCGCTGGGGCACTAATTCATCCTTGGACTTCTTAGTTCGCGGCTCCTCGCCCTTATCGTTTTTTGTCTTTGGACGTCTTCCTCTCTTCCTTGGCTCCTTGTCCTTTGGGGCTGCCGAATTGCTGCTGGCACTCCCAGTGGTCGTGCCGCTGCCGCTGTTCGACTTTTTCCCGCTAGTCACAGTCGTGCTTGCTCCAGAATCGGAATCCTTGTCGCTGACGCTCTCCTTGTCGCTATCGCTACCGCTTTCGCTGTTCACGGTCGCGGCGCTTCCACTAGTCTTCCTCTTCTTGTGTTCTTCTGACGTTTTTTTTGGGGCGCCCCCTCCCCCTTTTTTTCGTTTCACTTTCGGTGGTTTTCTCTTTGGCGGCGATTTCCTGCCACGTTCCTGATCGGAGCTCGACGAGTCGTCCGCTTTGCTGACGCCGTCCACGGGATGTCCGTTCAGGCTGGCTTCCTTGTGGACTTTCCTGTTATTAGCCTTGTTCGGAAAGGGCGTTTTCGTCTTGTTTATACTGTTCACCGCCATCGAGCCAATATTATGCAACGAAAGCGGCGGCGTGTCTTTCACTGGAGCCGGAGCACTACTAATATTCAGTGGAAGGGTCACGCAGCTTCCTCCACCTGTTATGCCGGTGGTATCCTCTGAGTCTTCTCCCGTATGCCGTTGCAGCCACGCCTTCTTCAAATGCCTCGCCACCGGATTACTCGACTTTGCGGTCGGCACCGGGCTATTGGACTTCTCGGAGTCCACCGCGCTCGGAGTCGACAGTTTGATGGGTGTTGTCGGTTCAGAGATAGTACTGGTAGTCAGAGGAGCTGATGTGGAGACTACCGAAGAGGCATTGCTATCTAAACTAGGTGGTCGTTCATTGGGCACCGTCACGGAGGTCACACTAACATCCGAGGGTACCACTTCAGCTATAGTCGAGGGACTCTGAGAAGGCGTCGGACCTCTGTAGGTGTTCACCACGGTTGTGATCGTTGTTGCAGCGCTTGCAATCAATGGACTTGGCTCGCTGACTCTCGCCAATTGTGGCGGACCACTGTAAACGGAGAGATTCTGTTGTTGTTGCTGCTGCTGCTGCGGTGGTTGTTGCTGCTGCTGTTGCGGTTGTTGCTGCTGCTGTTGTTGTTGTTGCTGCTGCTGCTGCTGTTGTTGTTGTTGCTGCTGTTGTTGTTGCTGTTGTGATAGTGGTTGTTGTTGCTGCATATGCTGCTGATGCTGTGGTGGTGGTTGCTGTTGCTGCAGTATATGTTGTTGCTGCTGTTGCGAGGTGGGAGTCGTCTCCAGTTTCGGTCTCTTTACTTCCAGAGAGATGGCCACGTTGTTGACTGGCGTGGCTTTTCTCTTAGGCGAGAGGGCCGATTCGTATTTATTGGAGGAGACGCCCAAGTCGAGCGGATGTGTTTGTACTGAGTGCACGCTTGGAATGCTCTGGGACGGATGCGTCACGCCTGGCATATACTGTGAATGATTTCTGGCTACCGGCGATGGGGCTGAGGCGGCCGTCGGTGGAGATGTCCCGTGTTGGATAGTAGGTTTCACAGACAATCCACCTGGTACGGAGCTACCGTACATCCGCTCATAGTGTGCCGCAGAGTTGCCCTTGCTGCTGTTGTGAGCGGGAGGCGGCAGACACGAAGGCATCGAACTGCTCTGAGGATGGGGTGGATTGTATTGAGAGACCTGCTGGTAAGGAGACGGGGATATTGATGAAGATAACGGCGGCTTCGAGGTGAGCTGTATCGGATTTCCACCACTCGACGCCTGCTCGTTTGACCTGCTTACAGGCATCCCCGACGATCCGATGACCGCGTTCGGCTTCCCGTAAAAGTGATGCGGGGCTGGACTGCTCACCTTGGGTTTCGGATTGGAGAGCGAGTTCTGGGCCACAGTGTATTGGGCCACCGTCGACGAAGGTGTCATATATATGTGATTGCTGTTCTTCCCACAGGTCGGGTAAATCATCACCTGCGACTCAGAACTACGGTTCGTGTATCTCTGCAACTGCTCCGGAGACGGATGTTGTTGTGCGTGCGGATGCTGATGTGGCGACTGCCTTTGCGGCAGCGGACTCTGGATCTGACCCGATCTGTACATCGATTTACCCAAGTTCTCCGGTTGCAGGTGATGTGGACTGGGGGCGTGCGGCATGTGATGGGGCGATTGCGTTTGGCTCCTGTAGTCATAGATGCCACTCTTCTGCGCTTGTCCCGGCGACAGGTAATGCATCATGTCCGCCTTCATCTTCGGCCCGGGTGAATGCGACATCGACACACGCTGTTCGGACAGATGGTGCTGGTTTTTACCGCCGTCGTGCTTCACTATCACCGAGTTCTTCAGCTCGCTCTGCAGAGGTGGAGGATTCGGATGCATATCCCTCTCACTCTTCGCCACCAGCAAACCGCTGCCTTGTGACATCTTATGGTGGTCCTTGGTCTTTGGTTCGTTGAAGTAGTGCGGCTGGAACGCAGGAATTCCTGCGAACATCTCCGCTTTCGGCAGTGATCCGTGCACGGAGACCATCTTCTCCGATACCTTCGACCCCGCCGATCTGCTGGAATGCGCAGGCGGCGGATAATCAGCCTTACTGGACACGTTGATCGGTCTCGACTGAGCCTGAAAACCCAAATAATGCCACATCGCGGTATAAGAAAACAGTAATTATTCTTCTGTTGATAACAACATAATAGCGCTTTATTTGGTATACGTCAACACACTCTATTGTTTGCCGGATTTTCCACAGCCACCATTATTATTTTAAAATAATAATTAAATGTAAAAACATCTGACTATTTGCCAAACAATTCGGAATTCTACTAAACAATTACAAATATTTTCCATCAATAAAAAACACAACTTATAGATAAGATATAATTTCAAGTTAAACGAATCATAAATATTTCTTCCTTTTTTTATTTTATAAAATATCTCCTACAATGAAAATTACAATTGAAATTTAAATTATTTAGAAAATGTAATTATCAATCTGCTTTGCGATAGAAGTTAAAATGAAATTTTTGTAAATAATAAATTATGTTATGTGTTTTCATTATGACCATAAATATTAATAATTTGTTTTCTAAACAAATCTGATCTTTATTTCTAATTGATCGGTTTTACTTCCTTGATTTCTACACAGTTATTATTAGAAGATATTCAATGAAAATGTGTAGGATTATTAATAGAATAGTTCGTTTTCGAATAGTCATCGTAAGATTTCTCGTCTCCGCCATTAACAAACAACAGTCAGAAGAGAGGAGAGCGATCCACATTCGCGATTTCTGCATTTCTTTTCTTCCACTTCTATTCATTATTTTATTATAATAAAACGCGTTCCAGATACGGTATCCACCGGGGGAATTGACACGCGATATTTTAATACGATGATGATATAATAATAGGTGCGCTTGTTACTTTCTACTCTGCAGTTACATTTCACACGAGAACAGTTTTTATTTTCTGCTCAACCGCTTACCAATTCATTGTAACAGTTGCAAGTATAAATCTATATTAATTAATAAAATAAAACTTCCTTTCAGTATTAATGGTGCAAGTAACTCGTTTTTACCTTGTTTATAATAGTTTTATTTAAAGTTGTTTTAAAAATCAAACGAGGTCATTCCGACAATTGCGTTTTTATTCCTGTCTCGTATATATAGATTTCAATTCATTAAGTCGATTTATTCGAAGAATGTGTTATTGTTTTGTTATGCGTATTAGATTAATAACAAGGTTGATTGTCTGTGATATGCATACGATTTGATTACGTATCGAAATGTTTTTTTTTTAAATTTTCTTTTCGACTCATTCTTAACTTTGCTTTATTTTGATATCGTATGTAATTTTAATGCAAATAAAGGTCATTGCGACAATAATGTTTTTTGTTTATGTGATTTCAATTATCAAATGTAGATACTTACACTGGCAGAATAGTAAGCTCTGCTGTCGCGTGGCTCGGGCCTGCCGTGCCTATCGTTCCTTTGATGCAGGTCGTGTTTTACTTCTTCGCAACCGCCACCGCCCCTGTTTGGGGGTGGCATGCTGTTTATGATGTTCCATGCGCCCTGCAAGCAAAAAAAATATTATTATTTACTTGTCATTACAATATGCTTATCTTGTATTTTTTTCTATTATTTAGTTTGTAGGATGCATGCATACCTTTGCATGAGCCATTTTCAGAGATTGATCAAAATGCTGCTGCACCTGCTGATTAGCCGTCAGTTGCTTCTCGACCTCCAAATCCCTTTCGCGCTTCTCGCGGTCCATCTTCTCCCTTTCCATCTGCTGCTTCTCGCGGTCCTTCTGCTTCTCCATCTCCCGACTACCTTGCCCTGGTTGTTGCCTGCGTGTGATGAAGTTAGTTAGTTGAGGTTGTTCTTTAGTGGGGTTGGGCGATGGACAGTACCTTATGAGTCTGCCGGAGCTCTGGATGTAGTCGAGCTCATCGGGATGACCCGGCTGCGGAGGGATGATGTGAGGGATGCCGCGATAATGGTTTTTAGCCCATATCAGCTCGCTGGGGATGTGGTGGGCGTAGATGCCCGGAGGCTGCAGATGGTGCTGCTGGAGGGGATGAGGAGTATGGGGACCCATGAGGTTGGGTGGCGGCGCCACGGGCTGATAGAGGGACTGGTGGTTGGAGGCGGCGGCGGCGGCTGCTGCTGCTGCGGCTGAGGTGGGTGGCGGGCCCGAAGCGGCCGGGGTCGATGGGTGCGACATGAGCAGCGACTGGTGCTGCACACTGTGGATGTGGCGAACGTGCGGCTCGGACTCCAACAGCAAGCTGGGGTCACGCCACACGCGCACCGGTTCTGAGGTGGTGGTGCTACTCGAATTGCTCGAGTTGCTGTTCGTCGGAGTCGAGGTATAAGATAGACCCGATGACGGTATAAACAGCGGCGACCTGTTGCTGGCTGCAGTCTGGCTCTGATGGATGTTGCTGTTACTGCTGCTGCTGGTAGTGCAGTGGATAGGGGGTGGTTCGTCTGATGAGCTTAGGGCGCTGGATCGAGAACCGGAACGCTCATCTCCGCTGCCTGATCGCAGCGAACTCACGCCAGAGTCGGAACGGTCGTCCGGGAAGCGGAGCAACGATGCGGCACTGCTTGCAGATTCGGTGAGTTCCATCCTGCTGAAAGGCGAGGACGAAGACAGCGGGCCGTCATCGTCACCGCGGCTCGAGCACTCGCGCTCTACGTGCTGTTCCTGTTGCTGCTGCTGCTGCTCTTGATCTTGCTGATTCTTCGACGGCTGCTCCTTCTGCAGACGCTGCTCCTGCTGCTGATGTTCCACGTGCTGTTGCTGCTCTTGTGGATCAGCCACTATCACACAATCGTCCTCTTCGCTAATTGCACTAGCCTCCTCCCCAACTACCGTTGGCTCTTCTGTTGCCACTGCCACATCAACTTCACGCTCATCATCATTATCACCAACAACTTCACCAATATCGTCCACTACTGGAACCACTAACTGCACACTGCTCCCGTTGCTAGTCTCATCATCTAGGACGCTATCTTCCTCTTCCTGCGGCTGTTCGCTCGTCGTCGTCACGCAGACCCTGGGCAGACAATCTTCGACGCGCACCTGCAAATCCCGCAGCTTACTGCTGTTCGCCTCCTCCAAAACTTTCTTCCTGCTGCTGCTGCCGCTACCGTTGTTGCTGTTCGAACCGCCTCGATTCACTCCGTTCCTTTTCCTGCCCGGCTTGTTCTCCAAGTCCTCCTTTATATTGCAGAATCCCTTCAATTTGCTGGCAGACTCGTTCTCGCTGCACTTCCTCCTCCGTACGCCTCTACCTGCAAAACGACAAGAATAATTTGGTCTTAGTAAGAGAAAATAGAAGCCAAGGGCAATTTAGGTTCCATCATTGTGTGCGGGGCAAATGCAGATAAAATATTCATTAGACAGGAATCGTTAGCGAAGTAGGTCGAAGTCAACAACACCGGGGCTCTCTTCTTATTTCACTCGACAGTCGAGCCAGCACCGAGTTGAACGACCTAGGGGAAGTCAACTCCCCTCCGCCCCGACCCATAGACAGAAAGAGAGAAAGAAGACACAACAACTTACGAACGTTCCGACCGACCCAACAACTTCAGGCGACTTCCCCACTTACTTCGAGCGCTCCATACTATTACCGTATGACTTTATTATGTAAATAGCTCTGATACATATATATACATACATACACTCGCTCATAAGGCATTAATTGTTGTCCTAGTTTTTGTATCCATTTTATTTATTTCATTTTGTTATTTACTCAATTCCACCTCGTTACCGCGAGGAGAAATTACAAAGCGCCGGAAATAATCCCCATTAATTATGGTAAAACGCTTTTCATAATTCATTCAAATTCAATTTACTCCATACTAAAAATGTAATGCATTTGACTAATTCATATACAGTTCCACATTCCATTATTTCTTAGAATGAATAGCTTTTACAATGCGTGCGTTTTCGTTGTGAAATTAGTAAACAAATATTTAAGAAGCAAAAAATAACGCGACGACGAATTGCAGGAGAAAATATTTGCTCGACCCGCACGGCGACGCATTAGCTCTCCGGCTCCAGTCTACTTTGAGTTAGTAAGTAACTAAGTAAACTCCGCTACATTTAATTTGCTTACTTAAGTCATAAAATTTAAAGCCGACTTAATTTCTCGACGCTTTACGCCCAGTTCAATTTTCCAACAAACCGTAGGAAATAAGATAATTGTTACATCAATTCACCATATAACAATAACATTTTTGTATCTATATTGAGATCTATATTAAAATCAATTTAATTTGTTTGTTTTATGAATTTGAAGGTGGAAGGAGGTATGAATGCAATTGAATCGACGTTGAACTTCCCACGCATTCCATTTGATAGTGAAACGACAATTAGAATCAATTCTACGAGTTAATTAAGTAAACACAGAGATGAGATAACGCAATTTGCTAAATGTATATGAATATTCATAGCGGACTTAAAGGCAAAATAATTACGAGGCAATTAGCAAAGTTCGTTGCTGCTTCATCGGTTCAACGTAAGATGTAGCCAGTAGACATTTTTAAGTTACAAGTTCTTGTTGCAATAAGTTATAATTAAATTGTAACATTTTCACAGTGCAACGAGCAGAATTTGGGAATGTTGAAATTGTGTCAGAATTCGAAGACTTCATGTTATGTTTAGAATTGATTAATTGAAGGAGATGATTTGATTGGAAACAATTTAATAGGTTTGCGCTATGGAAATTGATTGCTTCGAAATGCTTGTTCCTGAAGGTCATGAACTGCGGTGACTGTGCATATAAGCAAGCCTGCCTTTCGAGGTGTTCTTTTCCTATTTATTTATTGTAATATGGGAGTGAGTCACTCTTGATGATGATTAGTATGATGTCTTCTCGCGATGCCCGAGACCGGTCACGATCCATTGCATCACACGACTCAACCACGCCCCGATTAGCATCTGCTTCAGCGTCTCTCGTTGCAGTTGAATTACTCGGAAGTCGGTGATGCCTTCTTTTTTTTCGTCTTCATCATCATCATCATCGTTTTCTTGTTGTTGTTGTTTCATCTCCGTTCCGTGTGCTTGTTACAAAAGGAGGAGACGAAGAGAGAGGAGATGCAGGCCACAATAATTGGGACCAATTTCAACTCGTGCACACCATCTGCGTTACAGATTTCTAAACTCATCTCATCTCCGCTCGTCGCCCCGTATTCCTTCTTCTTTCCAATAACAACATTTTATTTCCTCGTGCAGCGCAATTACAATAATGATAATGTGTCGCAACTCCTCGGGCCGCGAGTTAATGAAAGTGAAAGCCCCACCTCGGATGGAAGCTTTCTAATCGTTCATTTATTTATTCATTTGTGCGTTTCTTTTAATAATAACTCGCAGCGGAATTGCATTATCCCACTTACGAGTTTGTTAAACCGCAAATTGGATGGAGCGGAGAGCCTATGTCAAGGTTGGACTCGGCTATATCCGATTAATTGCGCTCCTATTTTCGTCGTTCCCGGTATTATTACTGTTACGAGACGCCCACCATTGATTTTGGCATCACTTCGGAACGTCTTCTCTTCTTCCTCTCCTCTCTTTCTATATATATATATACATTTATCCCGAGTGAAAGTTCTCAATCAGATTAAAACGATCTGATCCTATTCTTCTTGTTGTTTTCTTCTTTCTTTCTTTCATTCTTCCTTCTTATTTTCGACTGGCTCGTTGCCTAGGACCTAGGTCTCCTGATCAATATATCATCCAGCCTCTCTCCCCTTTAAAGAAATTGGGGTTGCTTCGAAAACGGGGGACCATAAAACACGATAATTCCCACCCCTGGCACGTGCACAGATGATAACCGGATTCGCGAACACACCAAGTCTAGCCTAGCAACGATTCCAACGAATATAATACATATTTTTTTTTGTTGCAAACTTCATACAATTAACGCGAAAATTACGTGTCTGTGTGTTTAACATAATTGGCCTTTATCTCCGACGCACGTGGCTATCTATTAATAACGTACAAAGTCCTCACCCAATGCACTCGCAACGGCAACACAGATTTTAGATTAGCTGCCATTAATTGAGCTACTATTTCGGCTCACAATTCGTGCTCTTTTTTTTTGTTGTTGTTCCTCTCCATTCTTTATAAAAGTTCAGATTAACCTGAATCCATTGATCCAAACGATAACAAATCGGTTACATCCAGTTATTTTTTTTTTAATATTATTATTTTACTGCATTTTTTTTCAGAGCTTTTATAACATATTTTCTTTTTGTTAATTGTTAACAAAGTTTTATAGCTTTTTTTATAATAATAATCTATTACAATTCCTCGATAATGAAACAAAATGATGCATTGATCCAAACGATAACAAATCGGTTAAATCCAGTTTTTTTTTTAATATTATTATTTTACTGCACTTTTTTCATAGCTTTTATAACATATTTTCTTTTTGTTAATTGTTAACAAAGTTTATAGCTTTTTTTATAATAATAATCTATTACAATTCCTCGATAATGAAACAAAATGATCCATTGATCCAAACCATAACAAATCGGTTACATCCAGTTTTTTTTTAATATTATTATTTTACTGCATTTTTTTTTTCATAGCTTTTACAACATATTTTCTTTTTGTTAATTGTTAACAAAGTTTTATAGCTTTTCTTATAATAATAATCTATTACAATTCCTCGATAATGAAACAAAATGATCCATTGATCCAAACGATAACAAATCGGTTACATCCAGTTTTTTTTAATATTATTATTTTACTGCATTTTTTTTTCATAGCTTTTATAACATATTTTCTTTTTGTTAATTGTTAACAAAGTTTTATAGCTTTTTTAATAATAATAATCTATTACAATTCATCGATAATGAAACAAAAGTCAATGCTCTATTAACTAATCTTTCAATTAGTTTTTTTTTGATAAAACATCTATATAAACTTTACAAAATTCGACTATTACGTATCAAATCAAGTTTTTTTTATAACGTTTTCATATCAATTAGAATTGTTTGTCGATGAATAATCATTGTAAATACCAATCAGATCTAATCTCATTTTATTTAGTTTAGTGATAAAACATCTCATAATCGCTTCATTGTTGCAATTTTTATTAACAACTGTTATGTCTACATTTATAATAAATTAATTGTAAACTGTACAGTTGTTTTCAATCCATTTAAAATGTCTCAAGTCAATTGGAATTATCTTGTCCATTAAAGACGTGCATAGCATTAATTTGTCAATTAGATAGAATCAATCAATTTCATCTGAACATGTAGAAGGAATCGCGTGGAAAGCAGCTATTCAAATTGCATTCAACATCTCTCTGTGTACTTTATTTTGCTATCTCCGTTCCCATTCCTATGGAGTCAATAGTCGCCCCCTCCCGCTTGCGTGCCACAGATTTATCACTGATTCCGAGCTCGCACGCAGCGCTCTGAAACTGGATCACTTCCCTCCTCGTCATTCTGGTGTCTCCTCGCAACAACAACAACAACATCACATGCATATTAATTAAATGATTGCAGATAAAAAAAAAACTTCTCCAGATGATCCATTCTCTCCAGAAGGCCATTTCAGATCTACATCTGGCACATAAATTACACTCATGTAAAATATAATAATGTTTACTGCCTTCAATCCAGGTAGATAAAAAGAAAATGTGAGCGGAAAGGGATAACATTCGAAACAAATAAAGTTTGTGTTTGTGCAGCGCGTTTAAAGTGCTGACCTTTGGAAGATCTGAGGCAGCGATTCCAAGTTCTCAGATATCCCAGGACTTTTACGCTTACCGAAGCAAACTCTCGGCTTCGCCTCCTCCTCCTCCAACCCCCACTAAACGGAGGTGGCGGGTATCCGATTTTGTGTTGGATCAGCAAAGCGAAAACTTATTTATTTGTACCTGGCCTTCTCTTCCTCCTATATAACCTGCATTGTGTTAATTCCAGAAACGGCACCGAACCATCATCATCAACAACAACGAGGAGAGTTTCGTCGCTGCTTCTGCTGTTTCGATATATTTCTAGGCGTTGAATAATGCATGAGGGAGGTAAAACCGGCAAAATGGAAACCGGTCCGAAATTCCTCTTTCTCCAATCCATACACGATGCATGCATCCACTGTTCATCTCTCTCTCTCTTTTCAACCCATGACCAGCTTTCGGTACACCGGTTTATGTTAAATAACGACCGACATGCAGCTCGCGTACATCGTTCGCTCTTAATTATATTCCACACATGTTATAGTCTCCTTTCCAAATACATTAATTTCAACATTAATGAACCGCAACCGGCTGAAC